GGGAAAATTCCAAAGAACTTTCCCACGCTGTGCAAAATGACACAGAGCCAGGGCCGGATTAACATAGGGGCTGATGGAGCTGCAGCTCCAGGCCCAGGCCCAGGCCCAGACCCATGAAATAGGCCCACTGATTTAAAAAAAAAAAAAAAAAAATTTCCACACACTACTCTTAGGGATTCCACCTGGCTTTTATTTTATTGGCACAGCCAGTATTTGAGGCTGCCTGGCTGGTGCCAATATTGCAGTGATACTGGCAATATAAATGCTGGTATTTTTCTCAGTATAAATGGAAATTACTATGCAATACAAGCACTGGCCAGTTGGGGTCGCTGTATGTGGAGACAGGCAGGGATAGGAAGTTCCAGCATATCCCTCCCTGCCTATCTATACTCACTGATCTGCAGAGAGTCCAGGCAGCAACTCCCACCCTGCAGAGACAGCCTACAGCTCAGGGAAGTAAGGGATGGGGGGAAAGGCAGCAGGGAGACATGGGGACACTGAGACACTAAGGGACATTGGGAGACATTATGACACAGACACATGGGGACACAGTGTCCCCATGTCTCCCAGCCAGTGTCCCTGGTGTCTCAGTGCCCCCTAGTCTCCCAGTGCCCCCAGTCTGCCAGTGTCTCACTGTCCCCATGTCTCCTAGTGCCTCCATGTCTCTCAGTGCCTCAAGTGTTACAATGTCCCCAAGCTAGTGTCCCTAGTGTCTGTGGCCCTGGTGTCTCAGTGTCCCCATGTCTCCCAGTGCCCCCATGTCTCAATGTCCCCCAGCCAGTGTCTCTAGTATCTTTGTCCCTGGTGTCTGTGTCCCCATGTCTTCAAGTGTCCCCTATTTTCTCATTGTCCCCTAGTCTCCCAGTGTCACTGGTGTCTCCGTGTCCCTAGGTCTCCCCGTGTCCCCAGGTCTCCCCGTCTTCCTAGTGTCCTAGTGACATGGGGACACAGGGAGACATAGGGCATTGAGAGACTGATACATAGGATCACTGGGAGACCTGGGGACACGACACTAAGGGACACTGGGAGACATGGGGCACTGAGACACTGATACATAGGAACACTGAGACCTGGAGTAATCGACACATGGGGGCACTGAGTCATGAGGGCACTGGGAGACATGGGGGCACTGGGACGAATCCATCTTTACAGCAGATTTAAACTAAGTAGTTTTTTGGTGATTTTACAGCATTTTCTCTTATGTCACTCCTTGTGATTTACATCATGTGATGTCACCCACACATAAATTAGTAAGGCCGGTATGTTTTTCCAAGAAAGGTGGCAACCCTAACTACTTTTCACATACTCTTACTTAAGTATGGAAACTTAAGAGGGATGTATGGGATAAAAACTTGTGTGGACTGGCTGACAATGAATATAGTTAAAGGGACACTATAGTCACCAGAACAATTACAGCTTATTGAATTTGTTCTGGTGAGTAGAATCATTACCGTCAGGCTTTTTGCTGTAAACACTGTCTTTCAGAGAAAATGCTGTGTTTACATTACATCCTAGTGATAACTTCACTGGCCACTCCTTAGATGACTGTTAGAGATCCTTCCTGGGTCATGGCTGCCTAAAATGCATCCAAACATTCAGTGTCTCCTCCCTCTGCATGCAGACACTGAACTTTCCTCATAGAGATTCATTGATTCAATTAATCTCTATGAGGAGATGCTGATTGGTCAGGGCTGTGTTTGAATCATGCTGGCTCTGACCCTGATCTGCCTCTTTGTCAGTCTCAGCCAATCCTATGGGGAAGCACTGTGATTGGATCAGGCCACCACTTCTAATGATGTCAGCAGACTGCTTGTTTTTATGAGTCTAACAGCATGCAAAGTTACAGCTTCAGGCTTGAATATAGTAGGATTTTGCTATATTTATGGAGGCATGAGGGGCCCAGGGGGGCTAGATGGTGGTGTTAACACTATAGGGTCATGAATTCATGCTTGTGGTAATGCTGACTTTGGTCTCTCTAACACTGTGGCATGTTCCCTTTCTTCTACACTCACTACATACAGCTTTTCTCTGTCCCAGACCATATACCAGGAGCTTCTGCCTGCTAGTAAGAAGGTAAGGAGACAAGTGGACCAGCGAGTGCTAGGGGACAGTCCTTAGAAAGCGCTGAGTGAGCGCATCATTAGATGCATTTAGGCCAAGCTCAGGGTGCTGTCTGCATAGTATGCCCTTAGTTGGCCAGCTGCATGATTGGCAGGCAGCCTGGCATGCATTCATGCCAGGCTGGCCTTCTAATTCTTTGGGCAGACATGTACTCTTTTTGGGCATGTTCGCCCCTTTTGGCAGGTTACGTGATTTGTGTCAGTGGCACACCCTTTTACCATGCCCATTGACTTCCTGCTTGACTGGACACTGCTGTTAGGGGTTATGGATTTACTTGAAAGATGAAAACATAAATTAGAGAGAGATTAGCCTAGGGTATGTGCTTTCTTATAGTTGCTGTTTTCTTTCTCTCCAGCACCATCTCCATCAGATACATGATGCTTGGGAGTGTTTTACTGTTTTTGGTCAATATGATTCTGTAATTAGGCCCGTCATAATTGTCAGCACCAGGCCCACTGGGCTCTTAATCTGGCCCTGCACAGAGCACTGTGATTGGATGGCTTTTAAGCCATCCAATCACAGTGCTCTGTGTTATTTTACACAGCATGGGAAAGTTCAATTTTCCCACGCTGTGTAAAATGACACAGAGCACTGTGATTGGATGGCTTTCAAGCAGGGGCACAATTTACTAATTTTAAGTAATTTTTACTTAGTATTAGTAAATTAATAGGGGGCGGACCGAACATCGCATATATTCGCCGTCCGTGGTGAAGGCGAACACGCTATGTTCGCCGGGAACAATTCGCCAGCGAACCGTTCGGGACATCACTACTAATGAGACAGAGAGGGGTATTTTTCTAAACTCCTACATACTTATTAACCCTTAATAGGGAACACATGGTGTGGATGGCAGCATTGTAACATGGCTGTGTAATACAAAAGTGAATAGAAATACACAAAAATAAGTATTGCGCTAATTTATTTTTGCCATTAATCAAAAAGAAGGCCCAAAAAAACAATTTTACAACAAACTTGAAAAACAAAAGCGGTTTTGATGTATAGATCTTGCCCTGGCAGTCGCACTGCTCAATTCTTTGACATTTAGGAGTTAAATCGCTTAGTTTCTGTTTATGCAATGTAAACATTAGATGACTCTTTACAGGAAGTGTTTAGGAAGACTGAGCAAGTCATGTGCAGGGAAGTGTGATTAGCCTTAGCAAATGCAGATTGAAAGTTGGTTGCACATTGTTGCCTAGTTTGTTATCTATAACAATTCCCAAATCCTTCTCATGTGTTGTTATCCCTAATTCACTACCATTTAGGATGTCACTTGTATGTGCATTATTTACCCCAAAGTGCATAACTTTGCATTTTTAGCATTAAATGTCATCCCCCAATCAATCTAAATCCATCTGCAGCAAAGCAATATCCTGCTCAAATTGTATAACTTTACAGAGTTTTGTGTTATCTGCAAACATTGATACATGGCTTTCAATGCCTATTTCAAGATCATGTATACGTTAAATAGAAGCAGTCCCAGAACAGAACCCTGAGGACCACCCCTTACCACTTTTTTCCTGTTGGAAAATGTACCATTAATGGTAACTCTCTGTACCCTATTTTTAAGCCAGTGGTCTACACAAGAACAAGAATTTTCATCTAGACCAATTTGTTTTAGTTTGAACACTAACCTATTGTGAGGAAACATATCAAAAGCCTTTGCAAAATCCAAGTAGATTACATCCATTGCAACATTCTGATCTATACTTCTACTTACTTCTTCATAGAATGCAATTAGGTTAGTTTTACATGACCTATGTTTCATAAAACCATGCTGATCATTGTTAATAACAATGTTCTCCCTAATGTATTACCGAATATTATCCCTTAATAGCCCTTCATATACTTTCCAGCCACAGAAGGTAACTTCACAGGTCTATAATTTTCAGGCAATTTTTTTAATATAGAAACCACATTTGCCTTCCTCCAAGCCTCTGGTACAATTCCAGAAAGAAAAGCATCTTGTAATATTAAAAACAGAGATTCGCTTCTTTCTACACTTAGCTCCTTAAGTACTCATGGGTGAATACCATCAGGCCCCATAGCTTTGTTTACATTATCTTTCTTTAGTTACTGCAGCACATTGTCTTGAGTCATCCAAGCACAGTTTTTCTCCACATTTTTTGCAGCAATCATTTGCATATATTTTGCCATAGGATCCTTCTAAATATACATGGATGAAAAAAAGTTATTTAAAATGTCTGCCTTTTCCTGTTCTTCATTTACTAACACTCTGTTTTCAGTGTACCTACACTTTCATTTTTTAAATTATATTTTTAGAATTTATGTATCTAAAAAAATTTTGGGGTTGGTTTTGCTTCCTAATTTTTGTCTTTATGCATGCATTATTGGCATCCTTAAATCCTACATAGTATGCCTCTCATTTGTCCAATTTAAATACTTTAAATACTCTTTTTTTATTTCTAATCTCTTGGGGTTTTTTTCCACTAAGCCACACTGGTTTCAATTTGTTTCTTTTACATTTATTACCCAATGGTGCATACTGAGAAATGTACCTTTCTAATATTTGTTTGAAGATATTCCATTTATCCTTAATAGTTTTTGACTAAAAAGTTAATTCCAGTCGATATGTTATAACGCTGCCCTTATCTTATTGAAATTGTCCTTTTTAAAATATGTTTTAGTGGACCCCAAGTGCGTTAGCTTTTTTGATTTTATTTCAACCGTATTGTGATCACGATTCCCAAGTGCTCCCCTACTTGCTTTTTGGTCAAAAGATCAACATTGTTTGTTATAACCAGATCCAGAAATGCACTTTCTAGTCGGTGCTTGTACCAGTTGTGACATGAAGGTGTCACTTGACACGTTCAAAAACCTGATTCCCATTGCTGTACTTGATGTTAAAAAAAAATGGACGAATAGCTGAATTTCAGTCTGAAATTTGCACAAAAGTGAATATCCAAGTCTACAACTGGGCATGCACACAAATTAGGACTGCTTTGATTTATTGTAAATGTCAATCTGTCAAAACTTGACAGAAGGCAGAGCTACCACCATCAAGTTTGATCACTTCACTAGTGAAAGACGTGGGAATATGGTGAGATAATATCTATGAATGCTCATGTATTTTCGGAACCACCATAGACATGAATGTTATACAGAACTGACATAGCCTTCTGGTAGACAAAGTACCTGCAGCCTAAAACTGATGATGACAGCAACCACTGGGGACATCATCAGGTAAATATAACTCAGCTCCAAGCCACCGCACCCCAAGTGGAGATGACATACAAAACAAAACAACCATATCTGTAAACTATCACAATATGTTAGGGTCAATAAGTTACACTGTTCATGTTCTGATACAATATATTATGCTAAAATCTGAAATTACATTTGTGGGTAAACAAAACAAATCCAGTTTTAAAAAAGAAGACTTGAAGATTCACGTCAAGACCATAATGGTACTATACCTGGAAATCAGGATACTGGGGGAAACATTTTAAGCCAGAAGGCGCACAGTCCTTGGATTGTGGAGGCATATTATCAGAAGCCTCACTCTGCTGGGTCTTGGGGACAAGATTTTTAGCAGACACACAGTGCTGAGATGGGCACATATTTCTAAAAGCCACACAGTGCTGCAAGTAAAGAATATCGGAAGACACACAGTGTTGTTTTTTTTTTTTTTTTTTTTTAAACTGAGCTTAGTGTCTATGTGTATTCCTTGCCTATGGCATAGTGTTTAAGAAGTGTTTGCTTTTCACGCTCTCAAACAGGATTCAATTGTATGGGCATAGAATATTTTGAATACTTTAGTGTCCCTTTAAAGCAGTGGTCTTTGTGAGAAGCACCAATTTTACATTTGCCAGTCTGTGTGCTTCTCATGGTTGACAGAGAGGCCACTAGAGACACTACTGTACTGCTTTTCTATGAGGAGAATTCTACTGGTCAGCATTTGTGCACTACAGCCCTCAAGGCATCTCAAAGGAGAAGCATTTGATTGGCCGAGATCATCTATCTGGATTATCTCATGTAAAGGAGCCGCAACTACTGCATTGTGGTGGGAACATCCATGGATTGAATGGGAGTTTTACATTATTTTTTTTACTTTATAAGCGGATTTCAACAATTTAAAATGGAGTAGGGACACAGTAAATTAAATAAACACAAATATGTATTTATAACTTACTTTTCTCTAATCGTTACCTCATCTCTTCCTCTTTCCCAATCTGTTTCAATTTTGATTATTTATTTCTCTTTTAAACCATAAGAAAAAGTAGGTATTATTTTTTTTTATATACAGTTGCAAGAAAAAGTATGTGAACCCTTTGGAATGATATGGATTTCTGCACAAATTGGTCATAAAATGTGGTCTGATCATAATCTCAGTCACAACAATAGACAATCACGGTCTGCTTAAACTAATAACACACAAAGAATGAAATGTTGCCATTAGTGATGTCGTGAACATAAAATTTTCGGTTCGCAAACGCGAACTTCCGCAAATGTTCGCAAACCGCCATAGACTTCAATAGGCAGGCGGATTTTAAAACACACAGGGACTCTTTCTGGCCACAATAGTGATGGAAAAGTTGTTTCAAGGGGACTAACACCTGGACTGTGGCATGCCGGAGGGGGATCCATGGCAAAACTCCCATGGAAAATTACATAGTTGATGCAGAGTCTGGTTTTAATCCATAAAGGGCATAAATCACCTAACATTCCTAAATTGTTTGGAATAGCGTGCTTTAAAACATCAGGTATGATGTTGTATCGATCAGGTAGTGTAAGGGTTACGCCCGCTTCACAGTGACAGACCAAACTCCCCGTTTAACACACCGCAAACAACCGCAAACAGTCCATTTGCACAACCGCAAACTCCCCATTTGCACAAGGTTGGATACCAAGCTAGCCATGTCCGTTCCTTGTCCTCACTGATGTCATTGAAGGTCTCTTCCTCCACCCAGCCACGTACAACACCAAGGGTCCCCGAAAGGTGACAACAAGCCCCCTGGGACGCCTGCTGTGTTTGGTCTTCCACCTCCTCAAAGCCACCTTCCTCCTCTGACTCCTCTTCTTCAGACTCCTCTCTCTGCGTTGCCTCTCTCTGTGTTATTATAAGGTGTGTTAAGTAGTACTATTCCTATCAGTTTAATCCCTGTTACGTCCCCTATCAGGGGACGTGTATATGGCATCGATTTTAGGAACCGGGAGATGGAAAAAGATGCTTGGTCGGTCCTCCTACTTTAAATTTGGGGCACTGCGCGTGCAATCTAATGTGCCACCAGATAGGAGTGGTGTGTTAAGTAGTACTATTCTTATCAATTTAATCCCTGTTATGTCCCCTATCAGGGGACGTGTATATGGCATCGATTTTAGGAACCGGGAGATGGAAAAAGATGCTTGGTCGGTCCTCCTTCAAATTTGGGGCACTGCGCGTGCTATCTAATGTGCCACCAGATAGGAGTGGTGTGTTAAGTAGTACTATTCTTATCAGTTTAATCCCTGTTACGTCCCCTATCAGGGGACGTGTATATGGCATCGATTTTAGGAACCGGGAGATGGAAAAAGATGCTTGGTCGGTCCTCCTACTTCAAATTTGGGGCACTGCGCGTGCAACCTAATGTGCCACCAGATAGGAGTGGTGTGTTAAGTAGTACTATTCTTATCAGTTTAATCCCTGTTACGTCCCCTATCAGGGGACGTGTTTATGGCATCGATTTTAGGAACCGGGAGATGGAAAAAGATGCTTGGTCGGTTCTCCTTCTTCAAATTTGGGGCACTGCGCGTGCAATCTAATGTGCCACCAGATAGGAGGGGTGTGTTAAAGGACCACTATAGTGCCAGGAAAACATACTCGTTTTCCTGGCACTATAGTGCCCTGAGCGTGCCCCCACCTTCAGGGTCCCCCTCCCGCCCGGCTCTGGGGAGAGGAAGGGGTTAAACACTTACCTTTCTCCAGCGCCGGGCGGGGAGCTGTACTCCTCCTCTCCTCCTTGCTCGCGACGTCATCAGCTGAATGCGCATGTGCGGCAGGAGCCGCGCGCGCATTCAGCAGGTCGCATAGGAAAGCATTTAAAATGCTTTCCTATGGATGCTTGCGTGTTCTCACTGTGATTTTCACAGTGAGAAGCACGCAAGCGCCTCTAGCGGCTGTCAATGAGACAGCCACTAGAGGCTCTGGGGGCTGGATTAACCCTCAGTATAAACATAGCAGTTTCTCTGAAACTGCTATGTTTATAAAAAAAAGGGTTAATCCTAGAGGTACCTGGCACCCAGACCACTTCATAAAGCTGAAGTGGTCTGGGTGCCTAGAGTGGTCCTTTAAGTAGTACTATTCTTATCAGTTTAATCCCTGTTATGTCCCCTATCAGGGGACGTGTATATGGCATCGATTTTAGGAACCGGGAGATGGAAAAAGATGCTTGGTCGGTCCTCCTACTTCAAATTTGGGGCACTGTGCGTGCAATCTAATGTGCCACTGGATATGAGTGGTGGCACTGGGCAAGTGGGCACAATATATGCTGTGAGCCTGACACACACGCTGGCAGACAACTAACTGCTATTCAATCTATTACAGTCAAAATGTTATTTTATTTTTGAAATGTACACTACTGTTACACCAGATATGAGTTGCACTGGTGTGACACTGTGCCCTGGCAGGCCCTGAAACGCACACGCGTGAAGGAAACTGACTGCTATTATATTACAGTCCAAAAAGTTTTGTTTTTGTTAAATGCAAGCTATTGTGACACCGGATATGAGTGGTGGCACTGGGCAAGTGGGCACAGTACACGCTGTGAGCTTGACACACATGCTGGCAGACAACTAACTGCTATTCAATCTATTACAGTCAAAACTGTATTTTTTTTTTAAAATGTACACTACTGTTACACCAGATATGAGTTGCACTGGTGTAACACTGTGCCCTGGCAGGCCCTGAAACGCACTCGCGTGAAGGAAACTGACTGCTATTATATTACAGTCCAAAAGGTTTTGTTTTTTTTAAATGCAAGCTATTGGGACACCAGTGAGTGAGTGGTGGCACTGGGCAGGCCCTGAAACGCACACTCGTGAAGGAAACTGACTGCTATTATATTACAGTCCAAAAAGTTTAGTTTTTTTTAAATACAAGCTATTAGGACACCAGTGAGTGAGTGGTGGCACTGGGCAGGCCCTGAAACGCACACTCGTGAAGGAAACTGACTGCTATTATATTACAGTCCAAAAAGTTTTAGTTTTTTTTAAATGTAAGCTATTGGGACACCAGTGAGTGAGTGGTGGCACTGGGCAGGCCCTGAAACGCACACTCGTGAAGGAAACTGACTGCTATTATATTACAGTCCAAAAAGTTTTAGTTTTTTTTAAATGTAAGCTATTGGGACACCAGTGAGTGAGATGTGGCACTGGGCAGGCCCTGAAACGCACACTCGTGAAGGAAACTGACTGCTATTATATTACAGTCCAAAAAGATTTGTTTTTGTTAAATGCAAGCTATTGTGACACCGGATATAAGTGGTGGCACTGGGCAAGTGGGCACAGTATACGCTGTGAGCCTGACACACATGCTGGCAGACAACTAACTGCTATTCAATCTATGTCATTAGTCTAGGGGTTCACATACTTTTTCCACCTGGACTGTGAATGTTTACATGGTGTGTTCAATAAAAACATGGCAACATTTCATTCTTTGTGTGTTATTAGTTTAAGCAGACTGTGCTTGTCTATTGTTGTGACTTAGATGATGATCAGATCACATTTTATGACCAATTTGTGCAGAAATCCATATCATTCCAAAGGGTTCACATACTTTTTCTTGCAACTGTATATTTCCTACTCTTGACAAAGAATGGAAACTAAGAAAGCTCCACTCCCTTTGTCAAGTGTAATTTTCCCATAACACTCACCTATCCATTGGAGGTAATAATAATAAAAAAAAAAGAGGTCAAGCCATTATAGAGCTGCTTTAACAAGCATTAAAGATAAGTGAAGAGGGGCCCAGGAGGGAGGAAATTCAGATGGGTAAGCGTGGTGGAGCAAACGCCATTCAGGGGAATAGCCCCAAACAGGGCTATTAAAATTTCAGGTTTTATGCTACTAGCCATACCTTAAAGGAAGAAATGGTAATAAATACTGCTTTTTTACTCCTTACAGTGGGGAGGTAGCCTAAACTGCTTACGGGACAGCACTATAGTGTTACAATTATACATTTGTATTCTTAACTCAATAGTGTTCCTTTAAAGCCGATAAAACATGTAAGCATTTAATTATGCATTTTCTCTTTGGAGTATATCTGAAAACAGGATGCAAAAGGTGCAAATCTCTTGTTTGCAGTATTTGCAAGTCCTTCCCCAGTCTATACTTTCTGTCCAATCACAGACTTTCCAATCACAGACATTCCAATGCAGCTCAGTGAGACGTTTTTGTAAGGTAGATGCTCTGGGCAATTGCCTGCTTCTTAAGATTTGCTCGACTGAGCTAAACTACAAGGAAGTAACAAATGGTGGTGTAATTGACAGCTGCGGATGTGTAATGGTATTTATTAATTAATGACTTTACATCATAAATAAAGCATATTTAGTGTAATGCTTTGGGGGCACCACTAGGGGGAGTGTGTAGGAAGACATGTGCTTCTGGCAGTGACATCACAGGCCAGCCTACTTACACTGAATCAAAACCAGATGGAGGAGAAAACTCTGTCTCTTTGCCTGTACCTGACTGAACCTAAGATGTAGTACCAGCTCTGACTTAACCCCAGCCAAAGGGCTGGGGCCTTGTAAGTAAAATGTTGTGTAACATGTAGCAACCTTTTGTAAGTAATATGTTGTAGTTTTGTATTGTATCATAATTGTAGTAAATTGACATTCTGCTAGCATCTGTTTATTTGTTATAGTGATATTAAATATACATTTAATATTACAACGTTTTGTGTATTTTCTATCCACATATTCGACCATAATACCATGAATTATAAAAATATTAATGTTGTTCCGTATTGCTTAATTATTATGTATTAAGAGATTAATATTCATATTTAGGTCACGACCACAACAGGATGTAACAAGGTAAATTTATAAAAGTTATACAAATTTCTATTAAAATCAGAATTTTTGCAGATGAAAAATGACGACACAGTCTTTACACATAAAATAATTTCGGAAATCCAAAGTGCTTTAGGTGTTTGGAGCATTCCTTTAAAAAGAATTACTTGACCTTGCAAACCAAGAGAGTCTATGGCTATATTTTCACTGGCCAATGGTCCCAAATATCCATCCAAAGTGAAGGTGAAATCCCAACAGGAATTACCATCAAAAGAGACCTTAGCTTAATCAGCCACTACCTGGAGGGTCACTGCAACATACCCTCTGGTTTACTAGGAAATCCTCCCGGGGATTGAGGTTCCATACCTTGGGGGTTCCATGGTGAGAGAGGACAGAAAAATGGTTAAAACCACAAAAGAAAAGAGGCAATGCAAAAATAGCACATACAGGACCATTATAGTGCCAGAAAAACCCCTTTAGCCACTTACCTTTCTCCAGCACTGGGCACCCTTGACGCTGGGGAACTCTCCACCCCCTGCCGACGTCAGATCTGAATGTGCATGCGCGACACGAGCCACGCGCGTGCAAACTGCCCACAGGAAAACATTACTCAATACTTTACTATGGACGTCCAGAGTCTTCTCCCTGTGATTTTTACAGTGAGAATCGCAGAAGTGCCTCTGGCGGCTGTCAGTGAGACAGCCACTAGAGGCTGGATTAACCCTCAGTGAAACATAACAGTTTCTCTGAAACTGCTATGTTTCCAGCTGCAGGGTTAAAACTAGAGGGACCTGGCACCCAGACCACTTCATTGAGCTGAAGTGGTCTGGGTGCCTATAGTGGTCCTTTAAGGTCCATTGGAAGCAGACAAAAAAAAAAAAAAAAGCCCAGCAAAAAAAAAAAAAGCCAGGGCACATGGGATGGATGTTTATTTTAAGAAGCTGTTGATGTCCAAGTTATAATTATTGTAGTGTTGTAATGGATATGACTGGAATAGAAGTGTATTGGATTAGATAAGTCCTCTAAAATGACCATGCGGTCAACAGATTTTAGATCTATATCCCACACCATCACCACGAAAGTGTCAGTTGTAGTGAAACATAAATAACTTATCTTTGAAATGTACAGCATGCCCAGGGAACTTCCCAGGTAATATCCCCCTCCAACCAGCCAAAATACAATACATACAATGGAGATACAGCGGTAGATCTACAGAAGTTAATAAAATTGTATAATACAGTATGGGTAAGTAAACTGCTACTAAGAATGCACTCACTCAGTGGAATGGATATAAAGAGCCTCAGTGTATCTCCCATAAAGTCACTTGGGGGCAAAAAGCTGCTTCATCCACCACAGACTCCTTCTTCCAAGCCAGAATACAGTATCTTGGGATTACAGCAAAGCGTTAGGAATAGATTTATTTATAATAAAATGTAAGATAATATGTCTTTTGTCTTACATGTGTTGTCTCATTGAGGAAAACAATGACTATTTTAATAATGAATATATTTACTAAAAAAAAACAAAAAAACTGTAAATAAAATTTTGAAAAAAACACAAAGGTCCAACGCATTTCTTCCAAACTGTGGACTTATTTGGTGAGCAAACAAATACATAAACTAAATAATCCAAAATACAGCAGATATGCAACCTAATACCCTCCCACCCGAGTCCTTCTTTATAGGGCTAATCCCTCAGTCCTCCATTCTACTGAGGCAATGGAACTGCCCTATAAAGGAAGACTCGGGTGGGAGGGTATTAGGTTGCATATCTGCTGCATTCTGTATTGTGTTTTGAGTATTTTTTGAGACCCACTGTTTGAAAGAAACGCGTTGTACCTCTCTGTATTCTTAATTTTCTTTTTTCATTTATTTTTTTCATAAATAAATACATTGTGAATACTTACCCAGAGTCCTGATATTCTTGATTCAGGCTTGGAGGAAGTAGTCTGAGGTGGACAAAACATCTTTTTGCACAACCGGTGACATTTGGCGGCACCCTGACGTGCTTTACATACATTCTTAGTAGCACAGTTTACTTACCCATACTGTATTACACCGTTTTATTTTTCCTCCAGATCAGGGGTCCTCAAACTGCTGCCCTCCAGATGTTGCTGAACTACAACTCCCATGATTCTTTGAATTACATAGATAGCCAGAGAATCATGGGAGTTGTAGTTCAGCAACATTTGGGGGGGCCGGAGTATGAGGACCCCTGCTCCAGATGTACAGCTGTATCTGCCTTGTATACATTGTATTTCAGCCAATATGTTATGTCCAGCAATGGCTTTACTCTGGGCACTCCATTCAGCCTGTTGCCATGTCCATGCCTGGCTGTTGTAGACTACAACTCCCATGATGCCACTAACATACAGTTGCAACCATAATGCACTTTAATGCACATCAGCTGTCCCACCTCAGTGTCCTATATACCTTCCCATACATCCTATATCAATATTAACCACTCTCTGACCACAGAGTGCTAAGCACCAAAGAAGAAAACACCTCATTCCCGTCCCCATCCTCCTGTAGAGCAGCATAGCACCATCTCTAGCGTTTAGCGCTCTGTAGCCTCTCTGGGCGCAGATTACCAGGGCGCTCGGAGATGACGTAGGTGACGTGTTGAAGCCGTCCTGCGTATGCTAGTCGAGGCGGCTTCCTGGATTCAAAGTGCAAGCGGGAAGATCTCTGCGATCTGATTGGTTGTTTGTGCCCTGGCGCAGAGTGCTGCCTGTAGGAGCTCTGTCTGGGGCTGTTCGCCTGGCTGTCCATTACCCTGCTGGTTACAATGGCTGAAGGAAAGAGTCTACAGATAAAGGAGGCGTTTGACTTGTCACAGAAGCCCCACCAGAACCATGCCAAGCTGGTCTCCTACCTGAGAGCCACATATAATAAGGTGGGTGATGGAAGGGGAGACCAGGTTGTAGCAGTGCTTTATAACTCTTCATTAAAGGGACACAGCTGCATACCTACCAAGGGTCCCTATTCACATGGGGGCAGTCCTTATTTGGGGAACTTATCCCTCTGTCCCCCTTTTCTAGGAGCTCCATATTGTTGATGTGTCTGAGCTCCACAAAAATAATTCTCACAGCAATGGGTCTCTTTAAATTACAATAAATGTGTTTTTTAGAACTCCTTGTTTGCCTCAAAATTATATTGGAATGTTTTGTAACAATGTATCAATAAAAACTACTTGAAAAGAACTGTCTGTGTTTAAAAAAAAAAAAAAGATACTGTTATTGTTCTAAATTACATTTTAGTAACTTCAGCTCAATGAAGTGGTCTGGGTGCCAGGTCCCCCAGGTTTTAACGCGTCAGATGTTTACATTGAGGGTTAATCCAGCCTCTAGTGGCTGTCTCCCTGACAGTCACTAGAGGTGCTTCTGCGATTCTCAGTGAGAAAATCGCGTTGAACTCACGCAGCGTGAGTTCTGATCCCCATAAGAAAGCATTGAGTAATGCTTTCCTATGGGCAGGTTGAATGTGCGTGCGGCTCAGGCCGCGCATGCGCATTGGGAGCTGACGTCGGCAGGGGGAGGAGAGGTCACCAGCGCCGAGGGAGCCTGGCGCTGGATTAAGTTAAGTGGCTGAAGGGGTGTCAACCCCTACCTAAAATTTATCAGAACAGTCCTGATACCTCCATAAATTATAGAGTCATTCTTTGTCCATTTCAAATGCTGGGAGATATGCTCCTGGCTGGGAATGATTTCCTTTTGTTTTAAAATACATTATAAAGAGGAAGCATTACAATGTAATCAGTAAATACATCAGAGGGCAGATCTAAGCACTAAAACAACTTCATTTTAATGAAATGGTTTCAGTTTAAAGATCGTATCCCTTTTTTATGAAAATGTAAAGCATTGCTATTTCAGAGTTTGTTGTGCCTAAGTCACATTTCTTGTGACTGGAGTATAGAGTGACCGCGCCATACGGTCCTAATGCTTATCATAGAGTAGCTTCGCATTCAGTGCTTCACCATGAAAAGCATCGCATAAGAGATTGCTGTTCATGCTCTGTAGTTTCCCAGTGTTTTTATGATAGGTCCAATATAATCATGATTTCCAAAGCAGAACAAAACATTCAGCTGTTTGACACTTTTCAAAAAGTCCTGATCTGTATTGAAGTTGTCACTTTTTTAAACCGTCACACGTGACAGACTCCAGACTTATTATTATTATTATTATTATTATTATTATTATTATTATTATTATTATGATATTTGTAGAGCGCCGTGAAATTCCACAGCGCTTTACAATGGGTGGACGAACAGGCATATAGTTGTAACCAGACAAGTTGGACACACAGGAACAGAGGGGTTGAGGTCCCTGCTCAATGAGCTTACATGCTAGAGGGAGTGGGGTAAAATGACACAAAAAGGTAGGGATAGTATTAGACTAGTGACAGCACTAGCACTTTAGCAAGCTGATGCGTCTGGAATGTTCTGTTAAAGGACCACTATAGTGCCATGAAAACATACCCACTCCCGCCAGGCTGGATGGAGAGCAAAGGGTTAAACACTTTTGGGGACTCTCCTCCTCCTTTCCCTGTCATCGGCTGAATGCGCATGAGCGGCAAGAGCCGCGCGCGCTTTCAGCTAGTCTCATAGGAAAGCATTCTCAATGCTTTCCTATGGACGCTGGCGTCTTCTCTCTGTGAAAATCACAGTGAGAAGCGCCTCTAGCGGCTGTCAATGAGACAGCCACCAGAGACTGGATTAACCCTAAAGTAAACATAGCAGTTTCTCAGAAACTATGTTTACAGCAGAAAGGGTTAATCCTAGGTGGACCTGGCACCCAGACCACTTCATTAAGCTGAAGTGGTCTGGGTGCCTATAGTGGTCCTTTAAAGGAATACTCCTATATTCTTAAAGGACCACTATAGTGCCAAGAAAACATACTTGTTTTCCTGGCACTATAGTGCCTTGAGGGTGCCGCCACCCCGCCAGGCTCTACAGGGTGGAAGGGGTTAAACTTATTTCTCCAGCGCCGGGCGGGGAGCTCTCCTCCTCGGCTGAATGCGCATGCGCGGCAAGAGCCGCACGCGCATTCAGCCAGGCTCATAGGAAAGAATTCATAATGCTTTCTTATGGACCCTGGTGTCTTCTTACTGTGATTTTCACAGTGAGAAGCGCTGAAGCGCCTCTAGTGGCTGTCAATGAGACAGCCACTAGAGGCTGGATTAACCCTAATATAAACATAGCAGTTTCTCTGAAACTGCTATGTTTATATAAAAAAGGGTTAAACCTAGCTGGACCAGGCACCCAGACCACTTCATTAAGCTGAAGTGGTCTGGGTGCCTATAGTGGTCCTTTAACTTCAGTTCCTTAAATTTGTTATGGAGTTAAGAGAATCCAGACTCTATCTTTAAACCGTTAACAATCTTAAAACAGTTTTGCATGGCTCACACCAGGAGATACCGCCGCCTTTACCAAGCATGAATAGCCACAGTGCGTGGGCGCTGGACGTGCCGACACTGCTTCTGCGGGCTACACATCAGACCAGTTCAGAACTGTCCTGTGCCTATGGAGGGGGTCAGTTGACTCGTGTCTCTAGACCCAATTATTGCCAATGTTGCCCCCATATCCCTGTTACTATAAGCACTATTTTTTTTCTGTTATTACCTTTTCCCAGCCTTACATTTGTAATCATTGTAGGGCATTGGGGGTTCTCAGGGCGGCATAACTAAGTAGAGCCAACAGTATCATTTATGACTATTTTACTATTCGAAAAGAAAAAGAAGGAAACAAGTGGAGCTGAAAGCTGCAAATCTCCTAGTGGGGGTTAACCTTGGTGTAAATGTACAAAAAAGGAAGAGATGGAGGATGCAACAGAGAACGGAAAGGAATAAAGCACTGGACAGAACCAGATCCTAAATTCTAATTCATATATATATAAAACGTAACATTTTAATCAGTAAGATAAAAAGTCCATTGAATGGACTAAAGGGAACAAGACTAACCACAAACAAAGTAAAGATAAAATATGTACAAAGAAGAAAAAGGCTACAAAAAAGAATAAATAAAAATTACTGTTTTCTTTTCACTCCTGCTCCCAGATGTATAGATTTATTGCAGGGGTGAAAAACAATTTTGTGAGCAGCAAAAAAAAGCTGTGGACTGTATTTATGATTTAATAATAATAATAATAATAATAATAAGAAAATATTTTAATATTATTATTTTTTTTTTTTCCTTCTAGATAGAGGATAAATCTATTTTCTTGGAAGAGTTTATCCATTTCCTCAAGTATCCTCTGATAGTCTACAGACGAGAGCCTTCTGTGGAGAGAGTTATGGATTTTGTGGCAAAATTTGTAACTTCATTTCACAGCTCTGACGGTGAAAACGATGATGAAACTGATGAAGAAAATTCCCCTGTTAATTACCTTTTTAACTTCCTACTACAGGTATTTGTGGATTTAAACATAATGACTCTATCTGTAGCACTTAAGAGGATAAAAGGAAATACAAAATGTATGTATTAAATTAGTAATTATTCTCTCTAAAATTATTGTTCTGCCTAAATTACACTCATTTTGAAACTTTGGATCCAAATATTTGTTTTGCTCTAAATTCCTCTTTAAATGGACACTGTAAACACCTGTAGTACAAGAAAACATCTGGCGGAGATTTTCCTAATTTGTTTATTTTTGTCTGATTCTGCGATGGACATAGAACGCTGCACTAACCTATGTTGCCATCCAGGCTGAAAGACTTTTCTAAGGAACAAGTATAAACCTTGGATTAACAAGTCAGATGATGAGAGGTAGTATTTAGGTGCCAGGGAAAGCCCAGAGTTTTGAAAAAACAAATGGGCCATGATGGCCTGCGTGGACTCTTGGCAGCATAACCATTGCACTGAGCGAATGCTAGCTCATTTGTAACATATCCATGTTGTGAGCCTAACTGTAAACTATGTTTATGCTTTCTTAGCTCATGGTTTCTCAACTGTACAATACAAATATATGAAAGTAAGATTCTATAATTTTATAAAAAAATTATAGACGTAGACTTTACTAATAGGCCTTAATTATTGTATCACAGTAATTTAAACTTTAACCTGTTCACACAGAGAGAGAATTTTTTTTCACAGAATGTCCTTTGCTCTGACCTTGAGTCACAAGCTTAGGAGAACGTTTATCAACTTCACTGAAAGGAAAAAAATTTTGTAAGAAAAGCGGAAACAATTGTTGAACACTGTGCCGTAATCAATGAATGTACCAGTTATTAACATGTTTCCATAGTATTAAGGAGGCAGGCAGTTATCCAGGGAGAAGTGCAAACCTCTGTTTCAGTCTCACACATGCATATGTGTACGCAAACACGCGCTCATAAATGGCTACTCATTCACACATATACAAAAATAAAGGCACACACTTTGAACTGAGTTAATACTCTCTCCAAGCTCTGCTCCTTGCCTCTTCTGTCAGTAAGGAAAGTGTATGTCAGGAAATTGGGAGATGCAGCATCTGTTCTTGGTATCTAGCAGGGAGTGTGCTTTCTTTACATACTAGCTACTCAAAAAATGCACACACTCTTTATTATCAACACACTTAGTCTCGCACATATGCTTAGAATCCTAAACATCCACACATAACTGTACAAAATACATGTACGCATACATTTATACATTGACACACATTTGCCTGTTTAATTATGCTCTGTCTACCCCTACTGCTCACCTCTGTTTGTGCTGAGAATGGAGGTCTGCAAATCTGTCCCAGGTGTCTGTTGGACATTCGCTATCTGCATCCTCTGGAAGCAGACATAACTTCAGGGCGCCCCACTGACTGCGCTGGGGCAATGTGATGTCATATTAATGTCATAGAATGACATGTGAAGTGTGAGTATTTGAGGAACACTTAAATCACTATAACCACTACAGCCCATTGAGGTCGCTGCTTTTTTATAGGACAATTCAAATTTGACACTTTCTATAGAGCAATCCATGGTCCTGCAGGAAAAATGTTGTCGTTGCCTTACACGGTGTCTGGCAGTGAGTGCAGTCCTGCTTCGCCCAGGTAAAATATACAGGGACTTTTTGATTAGTAGGACCAGCGACTTTAAATGCAGAATGTCGAATGATACATAATTTCTGCAATTTCAGGGTATTTGTTGCAAACAATGAGCTTTCAGAGAAGAGGTGGATATTTGCACTTTAACCCTATTTTTTTATAGGTTAATATAGGTGATTTTAGGTAGCCTAGTAAAATGTAAAATTGTATTTTTGTGTGTGCTGTTCCTTAATCTGGATTTTGTAAAAAATTTGATCTATATGGCAGTACTATTGTGAAATGCATGTTTTCCAGGAGCGCCCCCAATTCCCTTTTTGTTTTTTTACTATGGAACTTTGCATTTTAAACACATTACTCTGTAAAAAGTTTCCCCATCCTGGTTTGTTTGTAACTGTCATATTTGCATAACCTACATACATAATTTAGGCTGTTTCGATTAACGGATGTAAATCCCTTGCACTGGAGTTATATGAACACTAGGTGGTGCTGGTAATCTACATTTAACTACAGAAAGAAAAGACATGTTAACCATATCGGCGTTGTTAAAACAGAACTCTGTGATCTTTAATTTTCTTTTTTCTTTCTTCTTTAGTCACACACGGCAAATAGCATGGCTGTGAGGTTCAGAGTTTGTCAACTGATTAATAAACTGTTGGTAAATCTACCAGAAAATGCCCAGATTGATGATGATTTATTTGATAAGATTCATGATGCGATGCTCATACGTATAAAAGACAGAGTGCCAAATGTGCGAATCCAGGCAGTATTGGCTTTAGCCCGACTCCAGGACCCCACTGATCAAAACTGTCCAGTTTCCAATGGTGAGCTTATCTTGTTGTAATTACCTCAATGTGCTTTTGCGGATTAAAGTATTAGAGGGTGTTAAAAAAAAAAAAAAAAAAAAAAGTGGGGGTGGGAAGCATCATACAAAACTTTGGAGGAGTAATATGCCAAGTTTTCTGAGTGATGCTGTCTTTAATATTTACCTGACATTGCAGTCTGCGTATGGTTCCCAGGTATAATTGTTTATTATCTTATGACCCATGGTGCAAATTAACTGTGGTGGGGGCCAACTCCAATATCAATTATAGGTAGAGATCCACATACATCACAATGTAGGGTAGAGGTTCAAAGATTTATTGTGTGCAGGTAACTTGTTTTTCTTTGGTTGATGTGTACAAGTAGTGATTGGAGCGAGCGCAGGACTTATCTTTCTGCATTTGTACTCATTTTTTGTATCACTCAGCCTTGTTACAATGCTGCCGCCCATCCCATGTGTTCCCTATTAAGGGTTAATAAATATATAGGGGTGTATATAAAAAATACCCCTTTCTGTCTCATTAGAGATCTTTGCCAGAAACTCAAAGAAGCAAGGTGAAGGGTCAGCGTAGGGGGTCTGCCTTGACTATGGCAGGCGAGCATTCCCTCCAATGGCCATTGGAGTAACTAAATGACCTCCATTTCTCTAAATATACATAGGGACTAAGGAGAGAGCCCAGGTAACTTGTTTTTCTTTGGTTTTTACTATATATTGGGGCTGATGTGTACTGTAGTCATTGCTGCCACCCAGTAGTGATTGGAGCGAGCGCAGGACTTATCTTTCTGCATTTGTACTCATTTTTTGTATCACTCAGCCTTGTTACAATGCTGCCGCCCATCCCATGTGTTCCCTATTAAGGGTTAATAAATATATAGGGGTGTATATAAAAAATACCCCTTTCTGTCTCATTAGAGATCTTTGCCAGAAACTCAAAGAAGCAAGGTGAAGGGTCAGCGTAGGGGGTCTGCCTTGACTATGGCAGGCGAGCATTCCCTCCAATGGCCATTGGAGTAACTAAATGACCTCCATTTCTCTAAATATACATAGGGACTAAGGAGAGAGCCCAGGTAACTTGTTTTTCTTTGGTTTTTAATATACGTGTGTGTGTATATATATATATTAAGTCCTCACAGCCAAGAAACCCGAAACAGTGTCTCCATGCAGAGGGTGGAGACTCTGAATAGCAGTGCTGCACTACATTAAGCTGTTCTGGTGAGGATAGTGTCCCTTTAAGACAGCTAAATGGATCCTATAGTGCCAATTAAAACCCCTTCAGCCACTTAGCTGAATCCGCCCACGCTCCTCCCCTACCAACGTTAGCCAGCGGGGGAAACCTAATGCGTATGCGCGGCAATGGCATTAGACCTTCCCAAAGGGAAGCATTATTCATTGCTTTCCTATGGGGAAAATCTGACGCTGGAGGTCCTAATGCAGAGCGTGAGGATGTCCAGCGTCAGATAACGGACCAAAGGTCTGTTTGGATTCTGGAAGCGTACCCATTGGCTGTCTGGTAGAGAGCCACTGAGGGCAGATTTAGTGTTGCAATATAAACATTGCAGTTCTCTGAAACTGCAATGTTTTACATTGCAGCACTAAGTGTAATAGTGACACAGCACTCAGACCACTTCAATTAGCTGAAGTGGTCTGAGTGCCTACAGTTTTCCTATAATTTTTCTATTAACGATTTGTTTATTACAGTGAAGATGTGCATCTTAACACTACCTCAAATTTTAAATGCGGACTACAATTTACAGTACAAAACAATGGATCAGTTATTCTCTCTAAAAAAACAAAAATAGCAAACTCAGGATAAAAAAAACAAACAACCTATTTTGGAAAAAGTCAAAGCATGGCTATTTAGCCTAAATTATTTTTAGTTTTTTTTTCTTTTTTTCATACACCACAATTTGTTGTGTAATTAATAAACCCCAAAGAAGCCAGGTTCTGTATCTGTCTTATACCAGCAAGTGAAAATTATTACTATTGCCGTAAATAAGATTAAACAGACCTAAGGAAAAGTATACCAGACATCACCATTTTAGTACCGGTAATCTAACTTTGTTCTGGTTAATATTCATCCCTTCCTGAATAGAAAGAAAGAAGAAAAAAAAAAATCCTTCTCCTACGTATGTTTGTCCAATCCTAGCAATCAGTCTTACCGTAGCTTTCAGAGGAAATACTTTTGTTTGTTTGTACTAATAAGGTTTCTCAATCCGGTCACATGAAATAATGAGAATGAATGAAGCAAAAGAAGGTTTGAGCCAATTCTAACACCATCTTCTCGGCTCTGCAATGTCTGGGTAATTAAGGCCAGTCGTTTAGGGGTTATGCGTGGCTATTATGGTGCTTATAATAAGACTGGTTGCCATAGAAACCATGTGAAGCCTGCTTTACATTGCACATATTGTGGAAATGAGAATGACATGAGACCTGCAGTGCATTAGCTACGTTCTGAAAAATAAAAGTTATAGCAAGTGAAGGAACTAGGAAACCATGTTTGATACCTTTCAAAAAAAAAAAAAAAGTCTTGTAATTCAACAAGGACCAAACAGCAACTGTTGCTTAGGGTAATGTCAACCACCATAACCACTGCAGCTGCTGTAGCGGTTATGATGGTAGGAGTACCTTGGCACTATTACCCTGGGTCTCCTCTGAAGCAGGATTTACAACATCTGGCTTCTGCAGAGCTGGTGCCAATCCTAGCACTCATTTATGGTTTGAGAGCAACAGCTGACCACTCTCAGCCAATGAATTAGATTCTGCGCATCAAAATTTGCAGTTTCACCTTCAGCAGCAAAGTGGTTAAACTCTGTATATGCAGCATTTCAAAAGGAAAAGCTGCACATACAGACTTCAGGCACCATGACCTCTTAAAATCACAGAAGTAACTCTTTTTAAATTTCTGTGTGTCACTTTATTTGAAATGTTATCCAATTTGCTGGTTTATATATACTGGAGAACATGTTTTCTGCCATAGTGTATAGTGCGTGTCTGTCTACCTTTGCTTATTTTATTTTATTTTTTTTCACCCTTTTATGCCTCCAGTGGATGTGATCATTTGACTAATGTGTTTTGGTGGTTTATATTTTTAATTTACAATCTCTGAAAGAGGAAAAAAAAAAAAATTATTTTTCTAAGTTTCCTCTGTAGGATTTTAATGCTGCTTAGTTATTTGATATATAAAATTAACAATGTCACTGCATCTTATTTTTAAGCTTACACGCAGTTGCTAGAAAATGACTCTAATGCAGAAGTACGGAGGGCGGTATTATCCTGTATTGCCCCTTCAGTGCAAACCTTGCCCAAAATTGTAGGCCGCACAATGGATGTGAAGGAACCTGTGAGAAAGTTGGCGTACCAGGTAACTTAATATTTCAATGTGCATGGGAGAGAGGGGGTACTATAAGTAAGTAAAAGCCTATTGTATCCTGTTATAAGTTGGGAATCCGAAAACCTGCAATATATTCAATATATAAAGTATGGCAAGAGACGTTAGCTTTGTTTTGGATTTTTGTTTTTGAACCTGAACTGATTATAAGCAACATTATGCATTATTGCTACAAGTCTTTAGGCTGATAACTCGTAGTCATTATAGATTTAAAATTGCCAAAAATAAGTCTCCAGAATAAACATGTGGAAGGTGGAGGAGTGTATTTATTTTTGCAGTAGGTTACAAAGAAGAAACCGAATTACATGACAACTCAATATTGAAAAATTTACGAACCAAAATTTTAAAGACGCTACCTCGTGATAGCATTCCAGTCACATTATCAGATATTGGCCTCAACTTGATATTTTTCCTTTAGCTTTTCAAATGACTTAATATTTTTGGATACACTTTTTTTTTTTTTTAATATTTTTTTTCATAATATTAAAATATCAGAAATATATAATCTTAAAAAAAGTAAATCAATATATCAAAATATTTCTCAAACTATTAAATAATGTAAAATACATATCAAACTATAACAATGTTAAATTAGGACAGGTATATAGTGTGCATCATACTGCTTTTTATAGCATCGGTTTTGCACACTATATACCTGTCCTAATTTAACATTGTTATAGTTTGATAAGTATTTTACATTATTTAATAGTTTGAGAAATATTTTAATATATTGATTTACTTTTTTTAAGATGATATATTTCTGATATTTTAATATTATGAATAAATTTATTTAAAAAAAAGTGTATCCAAAAATATTAAATCATTTGAAAAGCTAAGGGAAAAATATAAAGTTGAGGCCAATATCTGATAATGTGACTGGAATGCTATCACGGGGTAGCGTCTTTAAAAACCGTTGCTATAAAAAGCAGTATGATACAAAAAAGGTGAGAGCCTATAGAAGGCAAGCATAAGGTATTTTGGGGAACATACATTTAAAGACAATATTCTACTGTACTTCTTCAAAAAGTACCTGCTATGTTTATGAGCATGCTCTGCCCCTCTGGATTTTATTTACAGTTTACCTTAACGTGTGTTTTTTTTTTTGTTTTTGTTTTTTAAATTTATTTCAGGTTTTGTCCGAAAAGGTTCATATAAGAGCTTTATCCATTGCTCAGAGAGTGAAACTCTTGCAGCAGGGACTTAATGACAGATCAGGTAACAGTAATACTTTGTTAAATTTTGTACTTTTCTAATTGTATTTCTTGTGCTATTTATTTTGTTGATGATCAAATATTTTGGATGCTGAATCTGCTGCATATCCCAGGTTAAATTATTTTGATTGTGAATCGGTTTTGTTTTGTTTGTCCATTGCCCATTGGTTGATATTTTGCATAATGGTGATGTTTCTGACCAAATGTACATTTAGACTTGAGGAGATGCTGATTTAGACTAGGAAGCTATTTTTCTGTTTTTGGTTGTGGGAAAATAGTACAACATTTTTTTACAACATAGATTAGAATATTAAGTTACGAAATTACTAGTTTGAAAAACAACCTTAATTGTGCTTTAAAAAAAAAAAAACAATTCATATTTCTTGATCTTTACAATTGATTTAAATCCTGCAATCCAATTCATTTTCTATCCGTTTGAGTTTACAAGTATCCTTTTAATATTTCCAATACTTAGTTTTTTGTATTTTATACTTTGTTCACAAATATGTGTTTAATACATGCCTCTGAGCATTTACAGTGGCCTGGGGTCGTTCTGCTCTTTGACACATTCTTATAAAAGGCATTCAATGTGTGACATACAGACACTCTGTATTCGTTGTTATGACAATCTTTGAATCATTTTCTGAGATTATGATCTCCTCTGTAATCTGTTAATGTGCTCAGATAAAAGCTGAATAGTGTTTGTATTTTGTGGGGGAAAAAATGCATGCAGCCTCAGATTAAAGATAAAATATGTTGATAATCTTGAAACATAAATTTTTTTTTATTTATAAAATATTTTATAATATTATAAAAAAATATAGTATTTGGTGTATCATAGGGAAAGCTTAACCTTCTTTAAAATTTTAAGTAACACTCTAACATGAACACACTCTCTCTCTCTCTCTCTCTATATATATATATATATATATATATATATATATATGTATGTATATGTATATGTATATGTATGTATATATATGTATATGTGTATGTATGTATATATATGTATATGTGTATGTATGTATATATATGTATATGTATATTATATATATATATATATATATATATATATATATATATGGTCCATGCACAAAGAAGGATTGAGGATGCAGGTAATTTTGGAGCACTATTCAGTAAGGCTTGGGATCGGTTTTAGAATGTATAGCTGGACAGAACTGGTGGAAGATGGGCATGAATAAATAGTTTGAGGATGTGTATAACACAATTTAAGTGTCAAAGACTGCTTTCTTGTGTTCGTTATACTACCTTCTGGTGGTTTTGTGGGCTTCTTGGCTTAATTACTGGGGACCGGTTTACTATTGTAAAGCAGAGTCCGCTGATATGGAGCAAAATCATATTTACTTTTGTCGCTTCCAAGGCAGCCAGAAAAAAAATGAATATATAGGAGTAATTAAACACATTATTTTGTGACATTCACATAAGATGGATGTTAAAGCTAAAATACATATTAAGATAATTAAAAATAAAAAACAAATTGTATTGTCTTGTATCTTTAACACTATTTAAAGTGTTTTTTTTTTTTTTTTTTGTTATAACAAATATATAGTTTTCTGAGGAATCTTGAACAATTAAAGCAATAATAATTTGCAACTGTTGCTCAGCTGAAGGCACAAATGATTTATTTGTTATCTCTGCGCACTTAGCCAATCCAATGCTACTTTTAGAGAGAAGCGTTATATCCAATGGGTCTCTTTAATAATCAGTAATCATTAGCCACATTTTGCATCTTCATGCCTTGTATAATGATGCCGAATGTGAAGACCTTTAAAAATGTATGGTCTCAAGAAGGAAAAGCAGCAGCTATCTGTCTAAATACCACTAGAGGCATGTTTTCAAACAGATTTTAAATATCGCTGTTCCTCAGAAACCGTAATGTTGTACGTTATCTGAAAAAAAAAATGGGTCTTTGCACCACAATATTAGGATTTTTTTTTTATATATATATATATTTCAATTTTTTTTTTCAAATAGATAGTATAGTATAACAGTATGTCGTTAGACACATATACAAAAATTTCGTAGTTATCATTTGTTAACAGAGTAATTAGATCACACTGCAGATTAAATGAACAGTATTACAAACGACAATGTATAATAGCTAACAATAGTGCTAATCATTTTACTTAATTCGACAAAGATGGTTTAACTTGGTGAAAGAGCGCAACGTATGTAATGCAATGTTGCTGGTTAATGCAGTAAATAAATACTTCAATGAGCTTACGTATTCAAGAGTAACAAGTATTGTTAGATCAAAGTGAATTCCGCTAGTGCGGAGTTATTGATATAGTGAATTAGAAGGGATGTGGTGAAGCGTAATTCATAACAGACTAGTCATGGCAAGGAATGGCATGTGTAAATTTCTAGGGTGTGCGGCTGGTATACAGGAAGGGGGGGGGGAGAGGGGGAATATTAGGATTTTGTGTCCCTTTAACACAAATTATAGGTTATATCTGTGTTTTATTCAGAGGTATAATTTCAAGAGAAGTGACTCCTTCCTGGTTAAGTTTAAGAAAAAAAGTACACTTTTTATTTTTATTTTATTTTTTTAAGTGTCCTCTGCCACTCTATTTTACAGAGGCTGTGAAAGAAGTGATGCAGAAAAAAGTCATTCAAGCTTGGCTCCGATATACTGAGGGTGACGTTTTGGAATTGCTCCATCGCCTAGATGTTGAAAACTCTCCAGAAGTTGCTGTGTCTGCCCTAAATGCAATGTTCTCTGTGTCTCCTCTTAATGAGCTAATCCAAAACTGCAAAAACATTGATGAACGGTAAAGCAGAGGGATTAACAACAATGTATTACCTGATTTGTTTATTTAGTCAACATTTTTTTACTGTTCCGAGCACTCTAAAGGCCATTGGTTCCTAAACGTGAGTTTGATTTTCATGAGCAGGCTCTTTATCCATGCTTTGCTAATTATGCTTCCAGAGCTAATGAAAATGTGTTCACCATTGATGTATTTTACTTTCAGAATGTATGTGACCATGGCTTCTTAAATCTCCATGTGTGAACAAAGGAGAATGGATTCCTGCATTGTTGTATTGTCAGGTGTCTGAGAGAGAGTGTTTGGGTTTTTTTGGCACAAAACCAGCATTAACTTTTTGAGATTCAGTTTTTGCCTAGTCCTTAAATTCCAGGCTACAGCAGCAGGAGTGTTACGTTAAAAATAGGAATTCGGTTTATGACCACTAGGGTATTTAATAAGGGTAACTAAATGGTAAAACTTCATCACTTTTCCTTTTTGTTTTTCTGCAGCCAAAGTCCAATTTCATTGTAATAGACTTGTTTTTGATTTACTTCTGATTTCTAGGAAGTTGATCCCAGTGGAGACTCTTACTCCAGAAAATGTTCTGTATTGGAAAGCCCTTTGTGAATACTTGAAATCAAAAGGAGATGAAGGGGAAACTGCATTAGAAAACATTTTACCAGAGCCTGCTGTGTATGCAGAATATCTATCAAGGCAAGAACGAGTATTTTTTTTGTTGTTTAAGTACTTGGCTTAATGTGGATTTCTAGGTACCAAAACCACCACTTCCCATTGTAATTGTTATGGTACCATTAGGCAGTGTGTTTTCATATATTCACTAAAGGGAAAGGTGGTGTCCCTTTTTCTGTGTACTACAGACCTATACATCTCCATGTAAGATTTCTCTTAAAATATAAATAATCATTGTCCTGGAACCTAATGTAAAGTTATACATTTTTCTAGTTTTGATTTGTATTTTCATGTATTTTTTTTTTTTTTTAGCTACCTTCGAAACCTTCCTGTACTCACAGAAGAAGAGCGAGCAGATATTACTAAAATTGAGGACTTGATGACAAAAGAATTTATAGGGCAGCAGCTGATTTTTATAATAGGCTGTCTGGATACCACTGAAGAGGGAGGCAGGTAGGTTAGAATAGCTTCTTTTTACATTGTATCATTGTATTATTTTATTTTTTTGCTATAGAATTGTTCCCACACACTTATGTATTTTTCTTCTTACTGCTTACAAGCCATAAACAATCTCTCACTAAGTTAATATAAAATGTGCCTCATCTAAGTAGATTGTCTACATTATTCAAAGTTTTTAGCATGAGCAAGAAAATGTCTTGCGTGGATGGCTGTAAATTTTGCTCATGATTTCTGTAAACCTGTACAGATTTGTATTACTTTAGAATAATATAGGACTCCTACGCTACTTGACAGCCTAAGCATTACTCCACATTTTATGAAGGGTGTATTTCTACTCTTTAGGGCTGAATCTATGGCTAGTGAGGAAGTGGAAAGTTTAGCTCTGATATAACTGGGGTCTCTTTGTATTCTCTCTTCTCTCTCTTAGCTGTTATTCCCTGCCCTAATGATATGACGTCTGTTTTATCAATAAAGTTAAAGAAAATACAAGTGTATGGTTCAACATCTGGAGTTTTCCTACACCTAGTCCACACAGATAAAATGTCATAAGGACTGACTGACTCAGGGGTGTGGAATTTTTTTATTTATTTATAAAAAATTTTTTTTTTAATTGTACAAGTGACTAAAGTGGTAGCCCTATGTTACTTGATCTGACACAAAATAATTTCAATTAATAGGATTTTGGCCCCTGCTAAGAGCCCTGGACTTTGACAGGGCTATTGGCTTAAGTCTGAATTTTTACAAAATCTGAAAGGAAAAATGGAGGCAAAAATTGCTAATCTGGAAACATTCTCTAACTCTGCTATAGTCACAACATGGCTATTTATGCCTCAGATTTGTCACTTGGATTTATTTTGCAAAAATTCAGAATGTTGTGTCTTGCCCTTTGCCATCCAGTGAGCTGCAACCTGCTACGGTGTCCCGGTACAGTGTTTCCGGGTGGGCCTGCCTGGCTCTACGACTGGTTCTTTCCTAACTATACTAGCATTCAGGCCAATGTTGGAGTAAAAAGAGAGGTGTGTAAAAAAACTTTTTAAAATTGTACAATCCCACTCCATGATATATCAGGGAATTAAGAAGCCATTTTATAGTTGAGATGCATTTTTAAAGCAATTCTTCTTTATGACTTTCAAATAAGGCAAAGGCTGTACGACTTGCCTGTAAGCAACTGATCTGTTGATACATTCTCCTTTTTATTCCAGGAAGCGTTTGATTACAGTTCTTCAAGAGATACTGGTTCTGCCTAATACTCCAACATCTCTCATATCCTCTCTGGTGGAGTTGTTGCTTCGTATTATTAAAGATGATGACCGTAGAACACTTACAGTATGTAGCTTAGTTCTTTGCAAATATATTTGGTTTTGCACAGGGCACTTTATAGGTAATAACATTTCTTTTGTTTAAAGAGACACTGTAGGCACTCTATCTACTTCATCTCATTGAACTGTTTATAGTGTCTAAGGTGCCATAATGTCATTCAGTTTTAAACATTTTTTAATGTTTTTATGTTTTAATGCTAAGAGTAGCACTTCCTCTCTGTGCTGCTTTGGCTAATGAGGAAATATTATTTTGAACAGCAGTGGGCAGCTGTGATTGGCTGAGATGGTCAGTTGACTGCCTTTAGCTACCACTGTCGTTAAGGATATGACTACAAGAAAGTGTGTAATCTCTGCCTTAGCCACACCCACAGAAGAGTTTGTGCTGTGAGTGACCAGGGACCCATATTTAATTGCAAACTGCTGGAAAATGATTTAACAATGAATGGAGGCACTACAACCAGTTCAAAGAGATTAAATTGATTTAGTGACTACTTTGTCCCTTTAAGGATCAATGGCAGAATAAGTCTGTCATAACAATTCAATGTTTAATAGTCCTTTATTAAAATGGAATATTTTGTATAGAGCTGCAAATATAAAGTAAACATGACATTCTAGACTAGTTCAGGATTTTTAGGTACCAGGTGGGGATACTCTGCTCCTAAGGGGTCAACAAATTATTGCACTCATGGCCAAACAAAATTTTGCCTGTTGTCCTTTTGACACTTTTGTCCTGCTAAGTGAGTGAATGCAGGGATTTATGTGTGAGACCATTGTGTCCTTCTGCTGTCACTATCAAGCATGCCCATGCTTTCATTGTACTCCTCTACCTGTAGTGTCCATCTTCTCTTCCTGCCCCCTTTCTTATAGTTTGTGAGGTCCTCTGCTGCTTACTTGAGTGTAGCCTTATCCCTGATGCCTTCTGTTGCAAGGAAACCGCAGAGCTATGCATGGGCAGTTCTAAACACAACTCCCTTCTGGCTAACTCTGTAGTGATTTCACATATCACTACAGGACCAGCTGCTGGAAGCTGTGCTTAAATTCCATGAAGCACAAGTAAAGATTCCAGAGCCCCTACTTGCCGCAGTACACCTGCCGGCTGTAAGTGATAAGCAGCCGTGAATGTTTTACCCTGATCTGGCTTAATTTGGAATATTGAGGGGTACAAAGATAACAAGATCCAGCGCACTCACACTTTCACTAAACAGCAACTTCAAAGCTCACAGAATGTAATAGTTTATTTTTTTTAAAACATTTAACCTAGACAAAAATAATGGGGGTTTACTTATAGTATATGATCGTACAAATTATATATATATTTTTGGGAAAAGAAAGAATGTAGCGCTTGTGGGAGTAAATTGTCACTTTTTCGCAGTCTCTGAGGAATATATAGGAGATCAGCAACCAAGTGCCTGGTAAGAAAATAATCGCATATAGTGTAGATGGTATATTACGGAGTAATCATTAATATAGAAATATATGAATAAACTCACAAACGGGGAGCTGTAGACTCCGCTCTAGTTTGTATCGCTTTTGGATCTGTTTAGGCGATCCTCCCCTTATGGAAGTTATGTCACTGCTAGGTCCGTTTGGATAATCTTCCCTCTTTGGTTGATTGTGGATACTGTGAATCTTATCCTGAGAAGAGGGTAAAAGCAAGGACGATTGCGCAGTACTATTTGAGATTCCCTTATAAAATAATAAAGATTCCCAAATGGGTACTTACAAGCCTGGAGTCAAGCAATGTGACTCAATTTTCACGTATTGTGCAGTGTGGGACTGCACTCCCATCCAGAAAAGGCAGGTGGGTTAGGTGAATCCAGGAATCAAAATAATAATAAAAGCTAACTTTATTATAAAACAAAAAGGGCATCAATATGCCTAAAATCAATTAATAAAACAAAGAGCATCAATATGCTTAAAATCAGGAAACCAGAATGCGTTTTGCCACTACACTGTGGCTATTTCAACTGGATAAATTAATACAATGTTGCCTGTTCACTAGATACTGTTTAAATACTCTCATAATTGGTGGTAAAAAGGTCTATGATGACGCCGCAACACGCTGTTGCCACCCACAGGCAAAGCGTGTGCGGTTCAAGCCTCTGTTTCGTTCACACACACGAACGGCAGATACAGTTTCTATATACCAGTACAGCTTAGCACTTTTCAAACATCGCACACATACGCACGGCAGATATTGTCTCTGTGTAACACTGCCGCTTACCACTTATCGAAATCATTTCAGATACGTTACAACTTGCCACTTGTCCAAAATTATTTCAGATGCTTCCCATATAAAAGTTATCTTTTCACTTATCTTATATTGTCTCTGTACAACACTGCCGCTTACCACTTGTCAAAATCATTTCAGATACAACATTACAACTTGTCACTTGTCCAAAATGATTTCAGATGCTTCCCATCTCAAAGTTATCTTTTCACTTATCTCCTATATTCTTGTGCCTTCCTTCTTCTCCTCTTATTCTCTTCTGTATCCGATGAAATAAAGTCCATTTTAAGGGATTCCCTTTCATCGTCGGAAAGTGTATAGTCCATATATGACTCCATATGGAATTTGATGGACTATTTGAAGTACTTTGTTGTTTGAGGTGTTGGAAGCGAATGTTTAGCAGCTAGTTTGAAGATATCTATAACAAATTGTGTTTATTTTAATTATTTGTAATAAGTGCTGGTTCCTATCTATCAAATTTATATATATATATTTTTGTTTAGGTTAAATGTGTGTGTGTGTGTGTGTGTGTGTGTGTATATATATATATATATATATATATCTATTAAATTCTGTGGTCTTTGCAGTTGCTGTTTAGTGAATGTGTGAGTGCCCTGGATCTTGTATGTTGTGTGAGTCTCTGTCCTACAGAAATTCTAATCCTTTTATTTGACTTTTAACTAGATAGCAGAAATCGTCTCTGAGCTACGGGAGCCCATTGTCACTGTGGAAAATCCAGCCGATCACACTGCATCCAGGAAACTGCAGTTGAAGGTAAGAATTTGTTAAATAGTGCACGTTACATTATTTTACTTAATTAAGCCAAAACTGTTATTTTTAATACAACATTCCATACTTCTAGCAGCTGGTGATGTCTCTCCCAATCCAGGGCCCTTCACCTTCTCTACACACACTAAGACAACCAGAAACCCCACAAACCTCATCACAATACCCTGCCCTTTACCCTCACTTATCAAAATTAATTGTGCACTCTGGAATGCCCGCTCCATCTGCAGTAATTTAAAATCAACAACCATACACGACTTTTTCATCTCAAACTCACTCACACTGCTTGCACTTACAGAGACCTGGCTGTCCCCCTCTGATAGCGCTACTCCTGCCTCTTTGTTTTGGTTGGCTACAATTCTCTCACACTCCCAAGCTCAACTGCAAAGGAGGCGCCGTAGGCATCCTTCTCTCCCCTCAATGTACCTTTCAACCAATCATAACTCCCCCAGCCCTATCCTTTTCTTCTTTTGAAGTTCACACTGTCCGCCTATTTAAACCCACTCCTTTAAGAATTGCTATCATCTACAGCCCCCCTGGTTATCCTAGACTATTCACTGAGCACTTTTCTTCCTGACTTCCCCACTTCCTCTCATCTAGCACTCCTTCCCTTATACTTGGGGATTTTAATATCCCATCAATAACCCCAATTGCACTGATGCCTCTCGTCTGCTCTCTGTAACCACCTCCTTTGGCCTTACGCAATGGTCCAATCTAGCAACCCATACAGCAGGAAACACTTCTGATCTTGCCTTCACCAACCTCTGTACTGCCTCTAATCTCTCCAATATTCCTTTTCCTCTATCTGACCACCATCTGCTGACTTTTGACACTGGCATGCCTAAGACCCAATTGACCCAATTGACACCACCGTCTGAACATCACTCTCACAGAAACCTCCAATGTCTTGACCTAGAGCATTTCTCCACTAATCTACAAACTCTCCTTTTACCTATCTCATCTGTCCTAGTTCTGCAACCTCCTTCTACAATTCCACCCTCTCCTCTCAACTAGACATCATGGCACCGTGTACATTTAAACGCCGCAGGCCCCCCAACAACAACCCTGGCACACCAAGCTCATTCGATACCTCCAAAAATGCTCCAGAACTGCTGAACGCTGTTGGAGAAAGTCTCACTGTGCGTCTGACTTTCTCCACTATAAATTTATGCTGAGCTCATACAGCTTGGCTCTTTCCTCTGCAAAAGTTAATTACTTCAATACCCTCATAACCACACTCTCCTGCGAACCCAAACGACTATTTCACACATTTGACTCTCTTCTTCGCCCTGCTGTTCCTCCTCCACCTACTAATGTGACCGCCTCAGACTTTGCAACTCACTTCACTGACAAGATCTCTACTATCAGAGAAGAGATCTCTCATCTTTCTTCTTCCTCTTACAATACTTCCCCTAACTTCACTCCCTCTGCTGTTCTATGTTCATTCGCACCCGCTACATTGGAAGAGGTTTCTGCTCTGCTCCAGTCCTCCCGCCCCACCACCTGCTAGATCCAATTCCCTCGCATCTCATCCATTCTCTCTTCTTCTCTTTCTCCACCTCTCACTAAAATTCTCAATCTCTCTCTCTCCTTTGGTATATTTCCATTGCCCTTCAAACATGCAACCGTAACCCCAATTCTAAAGAAGCCCCATCCAACTATCGTCCTATCTCGCTACTGCCTTTTGCATCCAAGATCCTTGAAAAAATTGTGTATGCGAGATTGACAGACTTCCTCGAGTCCAACTCTCTGCTAGACCCGCTTCAGTCTGGTTTCCGCGCTAAGCACTCTGTGGAAACGGCACTGACCAAAGTATCCAATGATCTACTTGCTGCAAAATCTCGTGGTCACTACTCTATCCTAATTCTCCTTGACCTGTCTGCGGCTTTTGACACTGTTGATCATCAACAGCTTCTTCTCATCCTCCGCAATATCGGTCTACAAGATATTGCTCTCTCCTGGTGCTCCTTCTACCTCTCCCAGCGCTCTTTCAGTGTTTCTTTCTCCTGGCTCTGCTTCTTCTCCCCAACTCCTCTCTGTTGGTGTCCCCCAAGGTTCAGTCCTTGGTCCCCTACTGTTCTCCATCTATACTGTCTCCCTTGGTAAACTCATTAGCTCCTTTTGCTTCCAATATCATTTCTATGCAGATGACACGCAAATCTACCTGTCCTCTCCCTGTCCCTCTTGACTAGTGTCTCTGACTGCCTCTTTGCTGTTTCTAACTGGATGGCTGCCCACTTCCTTAAACTAAACTTGACCAAAACTGAAATTCTGGTCTTTCCTCCCTCAAGTGTTGTTACTCCTGTGTCTGTCTCCCTCCAAGTCAACGGTGCTACCATCAGCTCCACCACGCAGGCTTGCTGTCTAGGTGTTCTCTTTGACTCCGACTTCTCCTTCAAGCCTCATGTTCACTCTATCGACAAATCCTGTCATTTCCATCTCAAAAACATTGCGCGCATCCGCCCCTACTTAACGCCAGATGCGACTAAGGTGTTGGTCAATTCCACCGTCCTTTCTCGCCTTGACTATTGTAATCTGCTTCTCAGTGGTCTTACATGCTCCCAACTAGCGCCGTTACAGTCTATAATGAATGCGGCGGCGAGGCTCATCTTCCTGTCCGCCCGCACCTCCCATGCCTCACCCTTCTGTCAGTCCCTACATTGGCTTCCTATAAAATATAGTGCTCAATTTAAAATTCTGGTTCTTGCTTTCAAATCTCTACATAATGCTGCTCCCACCTATCTATCCTCCCTTATACATAAGTATGTCCCGTCTAGGCCCTTATGATCTGCTGAAGACTTACGTCTATCTTCTGTCCGTACTCCCACCTCTGATGCTCGCCTTCAAGATTTCTCGAGGGCTGCACCGTTCCTGTGGAACTCGCTTCCCTCCTCCGTTAGATGCTCACCCAGTCTCCACTCCTTCAAAAAATCGTTAAAAACCCACTTCTTCATAAAAGCGTATCAATTAAACTGTTAATAGCTCCTGACTGATTCCTCTTCTGCAACTGTCACTAGTCTAATACTATCCTTACCTTTTTGTGTCATTTTACCCCACTCCCTCTAGCATGTAAGCTCATTGAGCAGGGCCCTCAACCCCTCTGTTCCTGTGTGTCCAACTTGTCTGGTTACAACTGCATGTCTGTTTGTCCACCCATTGTAAAGCGCTGCGGAATTTGACAGCGCTCTATAAATATCATAATAATAATAAAAGTAATATCTGCAAAAAGTGTTAAGTTTTTTGTTCTGAATTTTTTCAGCATGCTAAATTGCATTCTGTGATGTAAGCAGGTACATTTATTTATTTTTATAAGCACTGGTGTATGACACAACCTTACCTCTGCTGCGTTAATTCCAATAAACAATGCAACCATATTTACTGAGGGGAAATATATTGTACTGGAAGTTACAGTTCATCATTAAATCTATAGGCAGGAATTCAAAATGTTAAAGTAGAATAGTCACTTGTTTGTTAATTACACCATTGAATAAACAATTGAAAATCCCCTCTAACTTGATAACCTTTTTTCATATGATGTGACTGCTGTGAGGAAAAAGGCATTGTCTACGAACGGAGGCTCTTGCGGGATCCTCTGTAGACTTCAGTGTTGTGTTCTTGTACATACATGAGATATCTAAAAATCCTTGCAAGTGATGGTTCCTTTATAAGGCTTGTCAAAAAAAATTTTTTTACGGTGACCTTCATGTCTCGATCCTATATTTCAGCTCGCTGATGTTAAAGTACAACTTATTGAAACCAAGCAGGCTTTGGAGGATAGCGTAAATCTACAGGATTTCACTCTTGCATCTGAATTAAAGGAGAAGGTGGCAGAACTGGAACAATTGAAAACACAGCTGATTAAGGAAGCTGAACAGCCAGAACTTAAAGAAATACGCGTGGAAAAGGTTACATTTTACAGAACATTTACCCAAAAAAGCACTTACAAGGCTTTAAAATGAAGCAGATACTTTTTGAACTCCTTTTTAAATGTTAATCATAAATCTTCTATTTCAGAATGACCCAGAAACACTCCTTAAATGTCTTATTATGTGCAATGAACTCTTAAAGCACATGTCTCTTTCTAAAGGACTAGGAGGAACATTAAATGAGATCATTGAATCATTGGTAAGTTTCTCTTTTTCTTAGCTGAAACAAAAAAAAAGGGGGTAAAAATAAACCTGAAGTGCAAATAACACAAATCCCCAAAAATAATATTGCTTAAGATCCGTGTCTCTTACAGCCATTTTACTAATATTTCCCCATAGATGCGCCAGACTCATCATGTATGTATAATCCTTTAGATTTGATTAGATTTGAGAGTACAACACATGTATGTCTAATTACATATAATATTTTTATGTACTTTATATCTCTGAAACTGTTGAAATTGTCCATTCTTGGTTCAATATAATTGGGTTTATTTATAGTGGAATTGTACTCACACTCTGGCTTTCTGCAGATTCTTCCTGGTATAACCAATGTACACCCATCTGTAAGAAATATGGCCGTATTATGCATTGGATGCTGTGCTCTTCAGAACAAAGATTTTGCTAGACAACATCTTCCCCTACTATTGCAAGTAAGTATGTTTTCTTATTTATTTCCTGCGCTTTGCCACTGGTTACTTGAAAACAAGGCCTTTTTTAGTTTAAATGCATTATAGCTAATATTCTGGTTAAAGTAAGAATGTCTGTTATAAGTCACTTCCTCATGGCTCAGAACTAAGCTTACAAGATTCATAGAATACTTGCTGATATATATTTTTACATTATCCTTTAAATATTCTGGGGGAAATTTCCGTATTTCATTGAGAGAAGTCTTCTCATGTGGCGTTGACATGATGTTGTGCATTCCTCCTCTGTTACAAGATGAGGCGGTAAATAATCCCACCCGATGACATCCGTGACACTGGAGGACTGTCTACCTCTTCTTAAAATTGCCTGTTTTCCAAGGTAGCACTATATTTAATGTGATATTTTGACAGCAGGACTCGGTCATTCAGACCTGGACAGGAGAACATTAACAGCAGACTAAAGGATGGACAGACGAGAAGGTCAATGTAGGATAGACAGGCTATAGACAAAGGCTACGTGGGAAGAGGACCAGGCATCAGAAATTGGGCAAAGGTGCAAATAGGTTATATATAGTGGAAGGTACACAACAAGGCAATATAGGATAGAACTTAAAAGTATAGAAAGATAAGATGATGTAGACTAAGGAGGTTAACAGAGATGATAAGATATAGAAGCACAAGTCAATGGAATTACATTTGGCAATATGGACAGAGATCTGATAGGTAGAAGAGCATAAGAAATATGTGGAGGTGTAGTTAGGAGGACAATCTATGGGGCAGCGATGTCTTAAGCAGAGTTTGGCAATGAGGCAGAAGGGGGGAAAAAATATGCTGATAGGAGTAAGCATTACAATTAGCTGCAAGGAAAGTAGAAAGACACTTAGTGAGGAAACCCATGGAAACAATGTAGTGGGTAAAGTAGAGAACTAATAGGTTTTCCAAAATTAAAATCATTAAAACTAGTTGAAAGGGCTAGGTAATTTAGGCTTAAAAAAGAACCAAACAAACCGCTGTAATGAGATGAATAAGGGTTAGAGATTGGCTGGGAAGGGATCTGAAATGGGAAAAGTGTTGGTGGCTGGAAAACAATTGGACATTCACTCAGTTGAACTGCGGAATTTGTTGGCACTATATAAAAGCATAATAATGTGAGAAACAGGAAATGGGCTAGGAAGAACAGACTGGAGGATGCAAAAATAAATGTGGAGAACAAATACAACCGTGATAGGTGTGATATTTTCAGCTGGAGACATAGATGGGGATTTTAAGCATGAATGGGAGAGATAATGAAGCGAAAGGCAAAAAAAGGAAGTATAAAAGGATATTTACGAGTGAGATGGGAAATATTAGGAACAGTAAACTTAGATCTTCTTCCAAGCACTAAAAATCCTTACACTCCTCTATGAAGACTTGGCTAACACTGGAACATCTATAGGAGAAACTGTTCATCTCTGATTATCGGAGCGCCCCTTTAATACACTGCAATTTTGCAATTACAAGGGGATTCGTGTGCTACACTATTTTGTATTTGACAGATGTAGAAGAGGCCCCTCACTACAATATGATTTGTCTTATTTTTAATTATATGGGCTCCTTATGTTTGAATACCTAGTGTTACATAAGGGCTATAAGTGGCCATTGTCACGATTATTGGTGATCTTTGGAAAATTTTAGGGCACTTGCTTGTGGTGATTGAAGTATTGCTGCAATAACCAGTTTATACATCCATGTGAATATAATTTTGCATATGCCTACAATCCACACTTGTGGATAATGTTTGACAATATCAATGTAGAAGTACTCGTGAACACAGTATTATATGTGGCTGAACTGTTCATTTAATATATCCATTCAGTATTGAATGGATATATGCCTGCAATATACAGTTTGAATAATGCTTTTTCTAAAACATCAGGACATGTAGTGTGCATATTTAATGTATATGTTGTGGGTATATGTATGCATGCAAAAGTTGCTAAACCTGTTTGGGATCAAGGCAACCATTTCAGTTTTGAAAGTCTAGGTGTGATTGTGGCAATCAAAAACATTGACAACACACCTGCCTGATTTTTTTTTTTTTTTTTTGGCCTTGATTTACCTGAAGCCTGGGCCAGTTATACTGAAGATTTATACCCTAGATATGAATTAAGAACCTTATTGTATTACAAAATAACACTTGTAAAAGTAATTGAGTTACTGCACCTTCAGAGTTTTCATTTTATTGCATTAGTATAGTTTTTTAATCATTATTTTATTTTTCAAACAGATTTCTCAGCTTGATGAGGTCAAAGTGAGAACCAGTGCCCTGAATGCTGTTTTTGATATGCTTCTGCTGTTTGGAATGGAAATTCTTAAGTCAAAGCAAGATAATCTTGGCGATTCTCAGTCCAAATCTGAGGAAGATGCAAAGGAGTTATCCGTAGAAGAAAATCAAGAGCCCTCCAATGAAACTAAAACCAGCGAACAAGTAAAAGAAGAAATATCTACCGTCAACAGTATCCTTCAACTATTTTCGAGTTTCCTGGACAGTGAGGTATAGTTTTTCTTTACTGTTCAAACCAAACCAATAAAAGTTCAAACTGAAAGCAAACTTATTTTTTTAAATAAGGCTACACAATATTTAAATATCTTTTTAAATTTACTATATATATTTGAAGTATTAACTTTACACTTACCTATGCAAAAAAAAAAGATTTCCTCTGATTGGGTCATGAAGACTGGATAAAAGGTTGGGATAAAATAGTATAGTGTATCCTGTAATCTTGTATATGTAAAATGTGACTGTAAACTCTTCTAATATGATTTCTTTTTACCTATTGAATTAATAATAATCATTTATTTATTGTTTATGAAAGCTTCCAGAAATCCGAACTGATACAGCAGAAGGCTTAGCTAAGCTTATGTTCTCTGGAAGACTAATCAGTGCCAAACTTCTTTGCCGGTTGGTTTTGCTTTGGTATAATCCTGTGACTGAAGAGGATACAAAACTTCGGCATTGTCTTGGTGTTTTCTTCCCTATATTTGCTTATTCTGGCCGGTATGTATATGATATTTTGCCTTGCTTGATGGTTCTTGGTTGAATGCCAAAAATGTTCCGCATTCCTTTTTTAGAAAACATATCTTTCGGGAGGCCTTACACTTATTACTAAACTTCCATAACAAATCTCAAAGTACCGTTGATATACTTGATACAATACTTAAAGTATAGCGAATACCCACCTATTTGCAATATACAACAATATCCTCGAAGGATGCATGTACCGCCAGTTCTGCTCCAACTGGCCAACAAGTGTATACAGAAATAGTCCAAAACTTGTGTACATTTTAAAAATCCCCTTTATTAGGACTAATTTTGTTTTTCTCCATTTATTGTGTCTGTTGGCACGTTGCTATGTTTCTTTTGTATAATTTGAGTGCCTGTTTAGAATCACTGTATTATTTGTTAGACACAGCCCAAGAAACAGAAACAGAAACATTATGTAAAATTAAAATTGTGTGTAACTGCATGGTAAACATTTGGCTAATGTAAATGCATCACAGGGTAACATTAATGTGTTTTTTTTTCTTCACAGGGCAAATCAAGAGTGCTTTGAAGAGGCTTTCATTCCAACTCTTAAAACTCTGTTTAATGCTCCGGCTACATCCCCATTAGCTGATGTCGATGTTGCCAATGTTGCAGAATTATTAGTGGACCTGACCAGGTCCAGTGAATTAAATACAAAGAACAAGCTATCTCAAGAATTTCAAGTAAGGTGCCCCCCCTTTTAGTTATCAATAATGTGTGCATATCTATGAACTGCATTGGAGCGTTGTACGCACTAACATTTCATGATGGAGATTTGTACATGTTTTAATGTGGTCATACATAAATGTGTGTTAATAGTCTGCTTTGTAAAAGATATGATGCTTAATGTATACGTTGCTCTAGTGAAATCACCAACAAACCTATATTTGAAACAATATATTTTCCAGTCCGGATAGATGCCAGCCTGACCTTTGCATCTGTTAATGCGAGAATGTGCACCTCATTCAATTCATTGAATGCTTGTGCCACCAGCTGACTGGTAAAACTATATAACATTTCTATACCAATAAAAGTTTTAGCTTGACCTGTAACATCCTATTTTTAATTATCCCCTATAGCATTTTTTTTGAGGACTGAAAAAATACAATTCGTTTTAGAAATCTATCCAGCTTGGCTCTCTGTTACTAAATCTTTCGTTTTCTGTCTTTGAACATAGTTTGTTAAAGGGAAGAAACTGAAATGTTTCTGATCTCCTCATTTTCATTGTGTGACGGGGCTGTGCCCAGAATGCGCTAGATTGTGATCTGATCTTGAAATCGTTAATATTTATTTTAAAAGAAAACAAAGCTATAAATATATATATTTTTTTTTCAATAATTGGGGAAAAATTCACACAGGAGAAAAAAAATTGGTTATTTTTCACTGTTTTAATCAATAAAGCGACAGTTCCGCTTTAAAGAGAAAATGTTATCCTGTAAAACTTATGGATGATCTAATTTTAACTGAAATAAAATATTTACCTTATAACCAAACTATCCTAATTACCATAATTTGGTGAAATGGATACATGAATATTCATCATTCTAAATAAAAACTTGTTTTAGCCTTGCTAGGCCTTATCGGTAATATAGGCTTGTCTTTAACCCCTTTAAGGACACATGACATGTGTGACATGTCATGATTCCATTTTATTCCAGAAGTTTGGTCCTTAAGGGGTTAAGGGCTTACAGATGCACTTCCCCACCGTAGTGTTTTAGCCTGTGCCAGTTAGGCTAAATAAGTATGGGAGGAAAGAAAAACCATAAAACCATGCTGGGCCTGACAGCAATGTGGATTTGGAAGCACATTGCAGAAACACTAAGCACCAGATTGTAACTTTGCCCTTGAAATCGATAATCACCTATTCATGTAGAGATGGAAGTTTCTCTGTACAAACTTTCTGCAGCTTAGAGCGATTTTCGTCTACTTTATCAGGATTTTGTTTTGCATTAGAAAAATCATTCAGTAGCTTGTACGATGGTCAGTGTTAAAACCAAAATGGTTAATTGCACCTTAACTTATTACAGGCTCCTTCGGTACATGACAGCTTGGCATTGACAATTTGTAATGAAATCTTAATGGATCCCACTTCTCCAGATGTCCGTATTTATGCAAAGTGTTTAACTTCTCTGGAATTAACTCCAGATTATAATGAAGAACTGCTACTTCCACTCTTCAATAGCATTCTAGAGGTAATTTGTTTTTGTATGGCTAATTTCATTTTAATCCATCATTTAAAATATACTCATTAACCTAAACCTTGCTTACTAAATGCACCTATGAAATATGCATGCTTCACCGGTTTCTTTCTTTGTATTTCTGCATATTTATTGTAGGATGTTACAGACAAAGTTTGTGAACGAGCAATTGAAAAGGCTAAAATGCAATTTAAAAATTCCAAGAATTTAAGGGAGGAAACACAACTAGAACAGGAAACAGAGTGTGTCGATGAGCCAGAAAACAAAGAGGAAGGTAATTAACATGCATAGTGTTGTTTTGTTTGTTGCATTCATTTTTATCTCATCTGATTAATACATTTCACTCCCTGTCCCCTTCTTCTAGAAAAGCAAAAAGACGAAAATGATGTTTTTGAGGAACAAAATGTTGACACCCCAAAACCAAAGTCTAAGAAAGGAAAAGGTTAGAAAATTTTCTATAGTTTAAAAAATAAATAAATAATAAATCCTCCCCCCCTCCCCTTATTTAAAACCAAAAAATGCAATATGTTTACGTAAACCATAAGAACTACATGACCTCCTAAAATAATGCTGTAGGACAAGCATATCAAATGCAAAACAAGGTTTAAGTTTATGTGGGCTGCATAAAAACAAAAACTTAAATTTTTGTAGAAACGTAGGTTAATTTTGAAAAGTACAGAAAAAATGACGTCATATTCCGGCACCCAGCATCACCATAGGGGGCGCGCGCGAGCAGTGAGTAGGAAGAATAGAGTGCACTTTCTGACGCCAGCTTCCTCATTCCTCACCTCCCTGCCGGGTAAATTTTAGCAGAGTAGGCATCTGCAATGTGGTGAGAACAGGTGCCTTAACAGTAAGCATGTCAAACTTGTGGCTTGCTGGGCCACAAAGATATTCATTGGGGGCCCCCTGAGTTTGACATGCTTGCTGTAGGACATAGCTGAGTAGGCAAGTTCATAGTCCTATTATATTATGGTCTTTTGGTTCCGGTACATTGTTTTATTCACAGTTTTAGACCAAAGTAGACATCTCAAATGTTTATCCCCTTGTTTATACCCTTTAACCACATTAGGACTTTCCATGCTGTTCACCGCAGGGTGGGCTTTAATCACCTTAGTACAACATGCAACATTTTGGTGTAAATTCCTGCCCACAACAGGGAGACGCAAGTATCAATTGATACCCTCTGTTAACTGGGGCCACGTTTTCTAATATTGCTACAAAATGGGGAAAATCCTTCTTGATTCCACAGCAATTAGTTCATCCAAACATTTTTTTTTATTTCTCCCCAAAAGTTTTGTATTCTCATTAGTATGATTTTAGTGTTCTCTCTTACTTGCATACTGGTAATAATGAAAAGATATGAATTTTTTTTTTTTTTTGTGCTTGTGTGTGCATTCATGTTTGTCTTCAGTCAAATGATATACTTTATTTTAACAGCAGGAAAACAGAAAGATGAACCTGTTGTTGCTGAAGAGCAAAATACTGAAGCGGCACAACAGAGGATGACAAGAGGGAAATCTCAGACAAGTATGCAATCTCTTCAATATAAGAACAGTAGTATATGGGTTAATAACCAGGAAAAGTTAATTTAGCTTTTCTTTGGTGTCCAAGTATGCTAAGAGGTCTACATGTTATTAACATCTAAACACAACAATACTGCGCTGACTTTGCCTGGATTTGAACCTGTGGCTCTCTGTCATTGCAGTTTATTTGAAGTCCGTTCATTGGATAACGTCCTGATCAAACAGGATAATTCCTATGGTTTTCTTTTCCCCTAAAACATTTTTCTTCTTCTTTAAACCAGCTTTGCAAGCCATAGGAAGATGCAACCCATGCAATTGGTGTACAGCCAAACTATATTACCCATACAGCAACTGTTCTGTCTAATTTTATTAAACATATAAATGAAAGAGGGCAGTTCATTCTTTTATCTAATCAATGTATCTAGCTGTGTGTGTATGTGGAGAAAAGTATTGGGGCAATTATTGAATTTAGATGCTTCAGTCAGACCCATTGTCACAAGTTTATAAAATCAAGCACCCACCCATGCAGTCTGCATTTACATTTGTGAAAAAATGGGTGGCTCTGAAGAGATTTGTGAATTCAAGCATGGTACTGTGATAGGATGCCACCTTTGCAATAAGTCAGTTCACATAATTTCCTCCCTGCTAGACATTCCACAGTCAACTATAATTATATATGGTATAATTGGAAAGTGGACGCGTTTAGGAACAGCAGTAAATAAGTCCATGTAAAGTCACAGAGCAGGGTCACAGAGTGCCAAGTCGCATGGTGTGTAAAAATAGCCAACGCTCTGCTAATTCTATAGCTGAAGAGTTAAAATCTTCCACTGGCACTAATATCGGCACAAAAATTGAACGGCAGGAGCTTCTTGAAAGGAGTTTCAATGGCTGAACAAGCATCGTATGACCAAGTACAATGGCAAGCATCGGATCGAGTGGTGTAAAATACGCTGCCACTGGACTCTAGAGCAGTGGAAACAATTGCCGAATCGCGTTTCTCTGTTTGGCCGAGTCTGGTTTGGTGGAAGCCAGGAGAACGTTACCTGTCTGACTATATTGTGCCAACTTTAAAGTTTGGTGCAGAAGGGATAATGCTATGGGGCTGTTTTTCCAGAGTTGGGCTTGGTCCCTTACTTCTAGTGAAAGGAAATATTAATGCGTGTCCATACCAAGACATTTTGGACAATGCTATGCATCCAACTTTGTGGGAACTGTTTGAGGAAGGCCTTTTTCTATTCCAGGATTCCCAGAAAAGTGGTAGCTGTTATAGCTGCAAAGGATGAACCAACTACATATTAATGTCTATGTATATAGAGTGAGCTGTTATAAAAGTCCCTGTTGGTGTGATGGTCATGTCTTCCAATTTTTTGTCCATATAGTGTATGTATGAAAATCATTGAAAATCAGGTTTATTGTCAAAATTTATAGACTTTCAGCTGTTTGCAATAAAAATATAAAACAAAAGCATTTGAAACAGGGCAACACAACAAAATACTTCAAGTGGTTTCCCCAAATTCAACTTAAATGCAACTGTGTATGTATAGATATATATGTAGATTGATGTATCGATAGATACTGCACTGGCGAGTTCTGTGACATCTGATTTTTGTCTCTCAGAAATAGAAATTTACTTTATGAAGAAAAGAAAATTGTGCGTGTATCTGGAACCCTGGTGTTTAGAACCTGTAAATCTGCAGACCCATACAAATACAGTGAAACCTAGTAATTGCCCTGTTACGACTGCTTATTTTCAATCATTAAGAGAAGTCATGAAGAGCCTTATTTATTTCATTGTCCATAAACATCAGTGTTGTACTCCTGCTGATGCAAAAAGTCCCCTCAAATAGACTCTCTTGGTTTTCTGCCCATAACAGAAATTATATATATTTGTATAAATATTTTATTGCGTTATGTTTGAACCTCTGACCTAATCTATACAGTCATCTTAAAATGTGTTTTCCATTCTTTCAGACCGCAGGAAGGAATCTACTACTACAACCAGGAGAAAAGCCAGTAAAAATTCAGGGCTGGACTCTGGCAGGTATGTGCACACTATACTTGGGGTATTATATATCTGTTGGCTCTCCAAGTGTCTATTTTGTACTCCACAGAAGAGCAGAGCTAAACATATCCAAGGTAGACAATAGCAGAGTGAACTCTTAGTAGACTGGGCAACTAACACAAGTAACTAAGCAAGACATATACCAAGTCAGTTTACTTAATGTATAAACCTTTTTTTTTTTTTTATAGTAAAAAATCAGAAGAGCCAGCACCTGTCAATACAAGACCATCGAGGAGAGCCAAGACTGCAGCTATGGAGAAAACAAAAATGAATCTCTCAAAGCTTCTTAATGAAGAAAATTAGTGCACATGCTTTTTCTTAATTGGTTAGCATATGATTTTTTTTTTTTCCTTCTAACTAATCTGTGTTATAAAATGCAAGTCTGTGTTGTTTTTTTTTCTTCTTCTTTTGAACACGCAAATGATTGCTCATGTCTACAATAGTATGTCTATTGCTGCAGTTGTTATGGTGCCCGGAGCACTGATGGCTCTCAGCCACTGAGCACCTGTATTTAATACAATTTTGATAATACAATAAAAATAGGGAATTTGGAAGCAATAACTTATTTTATGGAATATAGACATTTAACCTCCCCTAATGAATGCATGCCTGGATTAATATGTCCAGGGTCCATACCTCTGTCAGGTGTGAGATCGACAGTCTTGAAAGGAGTCTGCTGCTCACTGAGCAGAGTTTAGTGGGGACAGGTAGTGGAGTGGGAGGAGATAAGACAGATGGGGAACAGGCATGTAGCTGAGTAACAGTTGGGTGATGTAGCAGGGGAGGAGGGAAGGTAAAAAGGCTAACTAGTCCTGACCTTGGGCAATCAGACAGATTTTCCAATTTGAGTGAAGATGTTGGGAGCACAAGCTCAGGAATTGCCCTACTGGAGGAAGCTGTTCCTTCTAACAGTCTAGGGAACAGTCCTTCTTGTACGGATGGAGTTGAGAATGTAAGAAAGGCTGTATCCTGGGAGCTCGGGTCTGACATGTTGCAGACAGAGTGGATGATTGGGAGGGGCTGGTGATTACCCTGCAGTTGTGTTTGTACCAATGACAAAGGAAAATGGAAGGTCCTAAAGAATGAGTTCAGGGAATTGGAAAGTAAACTGAATAAAATGACCTCCAAGGTAGTACTTTTAGAAATATTACCTGTGCCACGCACTACAGTAGAAAGGCAGATAAGGTAGGTTAATGCGTGGCTGTAGGAAGTAGAGCTTTTTTTAGAGTATTTTGCGCTTAGGTACAATCTTTATAGTTGTGATGAATTGCACCTAAACAGAAGAGGGTCTACTGTGCTGAGGGACTGAGTGGCTAGAAGGCTGGAGGAGATTTTAAACTAGTGGTAGTAGGAGAGGGATATAGAAATCTACAAATTGGATATAGGATCGAAAGGAGATGAGCTTTAGCTCCGCACAAGGGGGGTTGAGCACTCTCCCCTGCTCAGCACCGTAGTGATGCCGGAGCCGGAATATGAAATCATCCCGGCATCACAAGGAGGCGCGCAAGGGAGCTGTGCAGGATGATCACTGCTCCCTCGCCGCCAGCCGCTCAGCCCAGCAGCTCCACTGGACCCCAAGGTAATAAACTCCATGCCAGCACTCCCAAAGGTAGAGAGGCTGGGTGGAGTGAAAGTTAAAAAAATAAATTGTGTGTGTGTCTGTTAGGAAATGTGTGTTTGTCAGTGAGCGTGTACGTTTGTCTGTCAAAGAGTGTGTGTATCTGTGTGTCAAGGTTTGTGTATGTGTCACTGTGTGAATCTGAGTGTGTGTTCATGTGCCAGTGTGTATCTCTGTGTCAAGGTCTGTGCATGTGTCAAGATGTGTATCTTTGTGTCTGTGTGTTAATTTGTTTGTGTACGTACGTACGTGGCATACTTACAGCAATCATATGTGCATACATCACAGCAATTAAACACCAACACAACATGCAAACACACTCCTGCAATCACAAGCATTATACAAAAACCCTCAATATTCAAACACACCCTTCACCCAAACACTCATACTTCACACAAATGTGCATCCACATTTAAAGCGAACACTACATCCAAGTACACCCCTGCATGCAAATTCAAACATTACATACAAACACACCCCTGCACGCAAATGCAAACATTACTTACAAACACACCCCTGCTAACATTATATACACAAAACCAAATGTACACACAAAAGCACACCTGCTCCTAAGTATTACTATCTGCGCTACAGTGCCAAAACATTTTTGGGGTTCCACGTTGTTAGCGCATTATGTCAAAGGGTTCCACACGAAAAATTAATTGGGAACCCCTGCTCTAGGTCATGCAAAGTCCTTGGTCATCTTGCATGATCTGCACGTTTGACATCTCCCCAGGTTGGTTCATTGATATTAAGGTCAGGAGACTGATGGCCATTCCAAACCTTCACCTTTTTCTGCTGTAACCAGTGGAGCATCAACTTGGCCTTGTGCTTTTGGTCATTGTCATTCTGGAAAGTCCAAGCGTGTCCCATGCACAGCCTTTGTGCAGAAGAATGCAAATTGTCTGCCAGTAATTTCTAATGACATGCTGCATTCATCTTGCCATCAGTTTTCACAAGATTCACCGAAACATCAGCCGCCACCACCATGCCTCACAGTGGGGATGGTATTCTTTTCACAATAGGCCATGTTGACCCCTCTCCAAACACAGCACTTATGTTTGTGACTATAAAGCTCTATTTTGGTCTAGTCACTCCAAATTACAGTGTCCCAGAAGCTGAGGCGTGGCAAGGTGTTGTCTGTGATATTGTAACTGGGTGTTTTTTTTCTGGCATTGTCGCAGTAAAGGTTTCTTTCTGGCAACTCGACCATGCAGCTCATTTTTGTTCAAGTATTGTCGTATTGTGATCCTTGAAACAACCACACCGGTTATCTGGGTTTTTTTTCTTTGTATCACAAGCAATTCTTCTGGCAGTTGTGGCTGACAACTTTGTTGCCCTATGTGGTCTGTGAACTATTTGCAAATTAGATTATAATTTCATAAAACTGTTACTGAGGTAATGATATAGGTTAATATGCTTCTATAGGAATAGAGATATAAATGTAAATACAAAATAATTATATATTTCTACTTTAAGTCTCATTCTACAACATAAAATGTATGGATTTTAACCCTAAGTAGTCTATAAATATAAAATATACTTGAGATAGCAGTGAATTTGCTACAAAAATTGGCATATAAATAGGCTAAGACATAAGATTGTCCGTATGTAAAAAGAACCTTGAAATGTAAGAGATACATAAAATTGTAAATATATTTAAAAAAATACATGAACTGAGGATATAAATTATGTAAAATGAGATAGAAAAAAGGGGGTAATTTAAAAATTTTACATTTTTATGAAAACTGTCATTAGGAATGAAACTGTTACAAGCCACAGAGTTCCTGAATGTTTTTGTTTCTATTTTGTTATTTTTTTAAATAGATTTCTAAGTCTAGAAACTCTGTTTTTCTTTTGACTGGTTAAAAGTGAATTTAAGATTATAAGGATTAAAATGAAAAGATATTCTTTAATACTTTGTAATGATGAGAGGTCCCTTTCCCATATAAAAATATAATCTATCTCTGCCATAGGACTAGATTTGCGCCACGTGGGGAGTTCGTCCAGATGAATTAATCTTCCTACTTTTGCCATAAAGAGATTAGCGTAATTTGGCGCAAATCTAGTTCCCATGGCATTCCCCTCAATGTGTTGATAAAAGTGATTGTTTGCCCAAAAGAAGTTGTGACTTAGGATGAATGCCACACATTTCACTAGATAATCAATTTGGTAATTTTTAAGGTTGGAATGTGTGGCTAGTGCATACTGAATTGCCTTACACCCTTGAAGATGTTCAATGACCGTGTAAAGTTATGTAACATCTGCTGTTACTAAAATATATTCTTGTTTCCATTCTATTGTAGACAGAATTTGAATGTGTGTAGTGTCTCTAAAATAGGATTTTAGTTTCACTACCATTTCTTGTAAAAATGTATCTACATATTCTGACAGATTTTATTGAAGGGACCTAATTTCTGAAATGATTGGTCGTCCTGGGGGGTTAACTAGTCTTATGTATTTTAGGTACATGATAAAATACGGCCAATCTAGGGAACTTACAATGTATGTAGTCATATTCCTTTTTGTTTAAAATTCCTGTTTTTACCTTCATCCAAAAGGGTTAATTTGTTTGAATTCTTCACATGCATTATGTTTTAGGATTTTATGTTTTCTCATCATTGTGTAGTCTTTGATAATCCTTTTATATAATCAGAGTTAAAATTACAAGACCACCCCTTTATCTGCAGCTCTTATTACAATCTGACCATCTTCCATTAAATTTTTTTAAGGTGTTCCTATCTTTTTAAGTTAAATTGTCTGTTCTGAGTGGAACCGCTGTATGGTCTTGCCCACCGTGCTGCAGCTCTGTTTCAGGGTCTTGGCAATCTTCTTATAGCCTATTCCATCTTCATGTAGAGCAACAATTCTTTTTTTTCAGATCCTCAGAGAGTTCTTTGCCATGAGGTGCCATGTTGAACTTCCAGTGACCAGTATGAGAGTGTGAGAGCGATAACACCAAATTTAACACACCTGCTCCCCACTAACACCAGTGTCATTTCTTCAGTGTTAAAAGAAAAAACGATTATAAATAGGATGGCGCAAATGAGAGAAGGATCTTAGTACATGCAGCAACCAACAAAAACAAATCCTGGTAAAACTATTTGAACATAAAATAACTTACAGTAGTGATGGTGCGCAACAACAAAAAAATCGTATTCACTCTGGAACTCTTGATAGAGAGTGAAAGTAACCCGGTGTACATAAAATAAGGTGTTTACAGAGTGGAAATATTATAAATACTTTAAAACCAAACAGTGGTTGTGGTAAAACAAAGCACAATCTGTGACACCTTTTAAGGAGACAAAAACAGAAAGAGAGCTCCTAGTGCAGCGTAGTAATTCACTTATAAATATATAAAATAAAGCAAACAGAGGTGCCCTTTAGGTGTTACACTCACAAGACTGGAGTGGTAAAAGCACCACTCGTTGCTATAGCACTCAGGGAGGATCAGCCCCTAGAGTGCGTGGGATCCGTGGAAAGGAAGCGTGCAATCCGGATCTCAGGTAAGTATACTTTATTACCGCAAAGAAAGTTCCATATACTCATGTAATGTGAAAAAATCTTCCAGCTGCTATCCTGGCTGCTGTTGCCGACTGTCTCCAAATCACTTCCTGGTTCCGGGTCCGTAATGCATTTCGCCCCACCCACAGGGCTTTGTCAAACAGCTGATCAGTGATTTGGAGACAGTTGGCAATAGCAGCCGGAAGATTTTTTTACATTACATGAGTATATGGAACTTTCTTTGCGGTTTCCTGAGGCTGGTGAGCGGACTAACTAACTCCACAACAAGTTTTGCTGTTTTTTAATTGTTATTTATAAAGTATACTTACCTGAGATCCGGATTGCAAGCTTCCTTTCCACGGATCCCATGCACTCTAGGGGCTGATCCTCCCTGAGTGCTATAGCAACGAGTGGTGCTTTTACCACTCCAATCTTGTGAATGTAACACCTAAACGGCACCTCTGTTTGCTTTATTTTATATATTTATAAGTGAATTACTACGCTGCACTAGGAGCTCTCTTTCTGTTTTTGTCTCCTTAATAGGTGTCAGAGTGATTACCATGTTTGCAAGTATACCTACAGATTGTGCTTTGTTTTACCACAACCACTGTTTGGTTTTAAATTATTTATAATATTTCCACTCTGTAAACACCTTATTTTATGTACACGGGTTTACTTTCACTCTCTATAAGAGGTCCATAGTGAATACGATTTTTTTGTTGTTGCGCACCATCACTACTGTAAGTTATTTCTTCAGTGTTGTCACATGAAAAGATATAATAAAATATAAAAAAAAAAATTAGAGGGGTGTACTCACTTTTGTGAGATACTGTATGTGAAATAATAAATGGCTTCATATGATTACTATCCTTCAATAAAATATTTATTTATTTTTTGCATTATCATGCATACTTTCCAAATCAATGCAAAAATTTCACAATTTCTGCCAGGGTATTCAAACTTTTGAGCACAACAATATATAGAGATTAGGGAAGATTTACTCAATACTTACCGTAATTTTCTTTTCCGGGCTATTCTTCGTGGCAGCATCACTCATCGGTAGCTCCTCCCCCTGCCAACACAGTGCAGGAATTATAAACTCATTAATCAGATTATTAGGTATAAAAAGTCCCTCCTCCCTTGATACCAAATTATAAAGCATAGAAATAAAGGGTGGGAACCTGATGCTGCCATTAAGAATAGACAGGAAAAGAAAATTATGGTAAGTATTGAGTAAATTTTCCCTATTCATTTCTAATCATGGCAGCATCACTCATGGGTAATACCCAAGCAGTATTATAATTAGAAGGGTTGGGAATTAAAACAGACTCAAAAAACGAATTTCTGCAGAAGTATAACAAATGTATCTTGAACAAATAGAGGTTACTGAGGACAACACACCCCTGCCAAATGAGATGGAAGGAGATGCCACATCCAGTTTATAATGTTTTATAAAGGTCACTGGGGAAGACCAAGTTGCTGCCCTACAGATATTCTTGTATGGTACTTCTGCCCAGTTAGCCCATGAAGTAGCCAGAGCTCTTGTTGAATGAATTTTAACTTTGTCCGGAGGTGGTAAGTTCTTGTGATGGTAAGCACTCTGAATGATGATAGTGATCCATCTTTTTAAGATAGAAGCAGATGCTGCCTCACCTTTTCTTATATCCAAAGAAAGAACAAATAGCTGGTTAGTCTTCCTGTAGGATTTATAAAATTTCCAATTAACGAACCAGGCATCCCCGAACATCCAGATTATGAAGTATTGCTTCTGTTTCAGATTCTTGATTAGGAAAAAATGAGGGTAGGACCACTTCTTAGGTCAGATGAAATTCTGAGACCACTTTAGGCAAGAACTCTTGCTTAGTACATAGACATACTCTATCATGATATACCTGAGTACAGGAGTCATCTGCATAGAAGGCTTTAATTTCAGAGATATGTCTGGCTGAGGTTATAGCGACCAGAAATAAGGTTTTATATGTAAGCAGGGTAGAGTTCAGACTTTCTAAAGAACAAAAATGACTTTCAGTCAAGGCATTCAAAACCAGAGGAAGGTCCCACGGAGGAGAGCAATTCCTTTTGGGAAGTTTGATCCTTAAGGCAGCCTTAAAGAACCTTGCAATTAGTGGGTCCAAAGACCAGGAAATGTCGCATAGAGCAGATAAAGCCGAAGATTGAACTTTTAAGGTACTAAGGCTAAGACTCCTGTCAAGTCCTTCTTGTAGAAATTCCAAAACATTTTGTGGGGTTGCTAAATTCAGTAGCTTTAAAAGATGCCCAGTTCTTGAATTTCTCTCAAACTCTGTGATAACATGCAGAGGTCGATTTGTTTCCTTTACTTTAAGAGAGTATTAATAACTGCTTCAGAGAGACCCATATTCTTCAATCTCTCCTTTTCAAAAGCCATGCCCCTAAATTCAGAATCTCTGGATTGGGACGAGACACAGGTCCTTGGATCAGAAGGTCCGACCTCAGAGGTAGTGGCCTGTGAGAAAACACACTGGAAGTTCGGGGTTTTCTTTGAACATTCATCTGTTTAGTATTTGGTTAGTTTATGCCACATTGGCGCTCTCTCAGGGCGAAGAAAATGGCAGCCATCTTGTTTGTTCAGGACAAAGGCAGCGGGACTTGGTCGTCGAGTGTCTGGAACTAAAATCGGACACTCGAATTCCCGAACTCCGGTCTCAACCAAACGAAAGATGGAACTGTATTTCCCGAACAGCTAGGAGAGTGCTTTTTGGTACTTTGATGTATTCGTATGAGGGGAACAATCGCTTCTATGAGCCAGGAAACTCCATTTGTGGATTATGGAGTTATTTGACATTTTCAGAATTGACTGACCGCACACGCTGAATCCGTGGAACTATTTTGGGCAAGAGCTTCGTGTGCCGTCGGTAACTTAAGACTTCCACACTTTTTAAAAACCCCTGAACCGATCTGGGTGAAATTTTTATATGGTGTTCCCCCAGATCGGGGCTATCAGGGGATGTGACATTTGTGGGGATACCTTAAGCATAAAGGGGTGTTCTGAGTTTTGGGGAAAATGTGTGCACTTAGCCTGGAGATAATTGGGTTATTTCTTAACTTATCTCATTATCTCACAGGTGGAGACAGGGAGTGTTTAAGTGTAACTGTACCTTATGATTGGCTACTTGGTTTGTGTAATGTGGGAGGTCCTCCTGCAAGGAGACCTCCCTAAAAGCCTGTGTGGTCTCAAACATCAGTTTTGTTACTAGACATGTGCAATTCATTTCGGTCCGAATATGAATTCGGACAAATTTCGGGAAATTTTGACATTCGGGTACTTCCGAATGTCCGAATTGCCGAGGTCCCGAAGTTGCGAAATTATCGAATTTCCAAAGTGAGGAAGTTCCGAAGCACAGTATTGCACTAATATACTTACCCAGTGAAAGAAGAAGAATGTTACATTGTATACAAACATAGCCAGGATTCAGCTGTAAGCATTTGCAACACGTACAACAATCAAGTAACATACATTCATATAAAATGTAAGTTAGTTGGCCAGTCAATGTAATGACAGGAATGAATAAGTAGATAACTCCATAATTCCCACGGTATTAGGGAGCTATCTACTAAAAGGCTGAAAGACCTAAATTGGTCTTTCAGCCAAATTTACTAATACTAAGTAAAGATTACTTACTATTAGTAAATCATGCCCCTACTCGCTATACCGCGAGTAGGGGCATGTCTATAAAACAGTGAGCAGCCTGTGGCGACGCGCCAGTGGGGGCTTTAAAAAAAAAAAAAGGTGCCCCCTCCTGCAACGTGCGATTGGGGGCTTTTAAACTAAAGATTGCCCCCCCAGCCCCCACCCCTGAGCGGCGGGTGGGGGCCCTAAATTAGAATAAGGGGGGGGGCCTAATGTCCTCCCCCCTGAGCGGTGGGTGGGGACCCTAAATTATAATAAGGGGGGACCTAATGTCCTCCGGTAAGTCTCTGCATTTACCTATCACAGCACTCTGATTGGTTGGTTTGAAATCCTACGCTGTGTAAAATGACACAGAGTACTCTGATTGGTGGATTTCAAACCAACCAATCAGAGTGCTCTGACAGGTAAATGTAGAGACTTACCTGTCAGTCCCTTCATTTACCTGTCAGAGCACTCTGATTGGATGGCTTAAACCCACCAATCAGAGTGCTCTGAGCCTAATTGCAGGGCGGGGGAAGGCTTTATAAGCCTTCCCCCGCCCTGCAGAGCTCAGTCTGCGCGGAGCCCTCACTGGGTGAAGATGGATTATTATTGTTTTTTTTTTTTTAAATTGCGTCGGTTATTATGTTTTTTTTATTTGGCCTTTTTTGGGGATGAAAAAAAGATTTTAGAAGAAAGAAAACATCGAATGGTAAGTTTTATTTTTTTATTTACAAGTACTTAGTTAAAGGTCCCCCCTTCATTATTTTTTAGGGTGAGGGGGGTAGGTAGGGGGATAATTTTTTTGGGGAGGAGGGGGTGACTAGGGGTTTGGGGACCCCTAGTCACCTGGCAGGTACATTTTTTTAGGGCCCCCACCCACCGTTTAGGGGTGGGGGCCAGGGGGGAGGACAATATGTCCCCCCATTGGTATTTAGGGCCCCCACCCACCGCTCAGGGGTGGGGGCCGGGGGGAGGACATTAGGTCCCCCCTTATTAGTATTTAGGGCCCCCACCCACCGCTCGGGGGGGAGGACATTAGGTCCCCCCTTATTAGTATTTAGGGCCCCCACTCACCGCTCAGAGGTGCGGGCCGGGGGGAGGACATTAGGTCCCACCCTTATACTTAGGGAGCGGTGGGGGCCAGGAGGGAGGACATTAGGTCCCCCCTTATTCCAATGTAGGGCCCCCACCTGCCGCTCAGGGGTGGGGGCAGAGGGCAATAGGTCCTATTTATTTATTTTTAAACAGTGAGCACTGTTTACTAGACATGCCCCTACTTGCGGTATAGCGAGTAGGGTCAAAATGTACTAATACTAAGTAATTTTTACTTAGTATTAGTAAATTTGGCTGAAAGACCAATTTAGGTCTTTCAGCCTTTTGGTAGATAACTCCCTAATTCCTACGGTATTAGGGAGTTATCTACTAAGCGGCTGCAATAGAAGTTCCGAAGTTCCGAATAGCGAAAATCCTAAATTTCGGAATGTCGAACCAAAAATTTGCCCCATGCACATGCCTACTTGTTACACCCTTCATCATGTTTCGGCTAGTGTTTGGGTACCTGATTACTACTTGGGGAAAGCTGTACTAGAGGATTTCGTTTCTTTGGACTTTAAACTACC